ATCTATCTATCTATCTATCTATCTATCTATCTATCTATCTATCTATCATACCCAATCTGGTTTTTACAGATTCTCCAGAATGCTCCCCCTATATCCCATAGATTTTGGAGGACCATGAGACCTGAAACATTAATGCCCAAGGTGATATAGCTAACAAATCTACCAATCTGAAGTCCAGCCCTGGACTCAGAAACAGGAGAGTTCTACCTTTGACACTTAATTTTTATGGAACCATGGGCAGACAGGTCACATAACATCTTGAAGCCTTAGTTTCATCATCTGTAAAATGGGGATAATAGCTCTAGTGCTTACCCTACATGGCTGTTGAGAGGGTCAGATAAGATGTTTTTGAAACTCTTTAGAAATGTCAGTCATGAGATGCCTGATCATTTCGGGGGTGATGTGGTAATCAGACTTGTGATTTCATTGTTGTAGGGAAATGCCAGTGAAGAAGCTCCATCTCCCCATGAGAATGGGTGAGTCTCCTGCAGCTTGTAGTCTTAGAGGACCTTGGGAGCATAAACCCAGAGCTGGAAGGGACCCAGGAGGCCAATGAACCCAATTCCTTCATTTTGCATGGAAGGAAGCTAAGGCCTAGGGAGGGAAAGTGATTTGCTCCAGGTGACACAGGTAGCAAGCCTGAGAGGTGGGATTTAAACTCAAATCCTCTGATGCTGGGCAGCAGAATATAGTAGATAGAGTGCCAGGCCTGGAGTCAGGAAGATCTGAGTTCAAATCTGGCCTCAGATACTTACTACCTGTGGGACCCTGGCCAAGTCACTTTGTGTACCTCAGTTTCCTCATCTGCAAAATGAACTGGAGAAGGAAATGGCAAACCACTCCAGTATCTCTGTCAAGAGAACCCCAAGGGGTCATGAAGAGTTGGACGCAACTAAACAACAATGCCCCTCACATACAATCGATGACCAAATGCAGTGGCTTCCGCCTTCCTGAGAGATTTTTCCTGTCTGATTCCTCCTTTCTGTTCCCACTATCCCTACACGTGTATATATCCTCTTTCCTGAATTCCCCACCACCCACTCCTGCCATAAAATGACTCTAAGAAGGTTATTATCATCTCCCTATCGCTCTTCTCATAGAAGGTGCCTTTTACATGGTGGCCAAAGGAATTATTTTGCTCACAGATCACAGGCTCACAGATTGAGAGCTAGAAGGGATCTCACAGGCCATGAGTTCCAATCTCTTCTTTAAAATTTTACAGATGAGGAAACTGGAGGCAGACAGAAGTTAAGGCACTTGCCCAGAGTCACTCAGCTAGCAAATATCTAAGGTGAATTTGAACCTAGGTCCTCTTGACCTAAAGTTCTATGCCTTTTCTATTGTGCTACGGTGCCTCGACAAAACTCTTTTCCTCAAAAATCTTTCCCATAGCCCCCTCTTCCCTTCAAGGCCCTCCATAATCTGATGCCAACCTCCTTGCCTAGCCCTATCTCCTGCCACTCATCTCCACCCTCTTCGTGCTTCAGCCACAGTCCTTGTAACACCACCTATCCTGCCCAGCCTCCTTGCCCTTCCTCACTCTGATACCCTCTCCCTCTCCCATGCTTCACGTGGCGCATTCTTATTTGTCAGACCCTACTCGAATCCCCCATTTTCCAAAAGCTTCCCCTGGTTGCCCAAGTCGGTAACCACTTCCTCATTATATCCCATATACTCCTAGAGTGCCCTTCCCCAGTGCTCTGGAGTCCCCTCCATCCTTCCCTCTGCCTCTTGGAATCTCCCTTGAAGCTCCCTTCTAGACTCAACTCAAGGCTCCCCCAGATACTACAGTGCTCCCCAAATTACCTTGCATATACTCTGTGTGTAATTTATATCTGCTTATATATCTCTACGCTGTCTTCCCTCCTGTTCCCTGCCCCCCCCACATCATTTTGAGTAGGTGCTCAATACTCACCTGTTGAATTAAATTGGAAAAGCAGAAGGAACGGGATTTGAAGGGACTTTCATTGGGCTGATGAAGGACTGCCCAGCTATGGGGGGCGGGATTGTATAAAGTCCCTCCTTGTCTTCAGGCCTTACTTACAACAGGAAAGTCGGTATTAGAACCAGCTCCCTTTGGACCCTGAAGACAGTCCCTGTTCTCTCTGGCTTCTGAGAGAGCTGAGCTCCCTGAGGAATGGGGTTGCCTACCTGTCTCACTTCATCGCAGAAGAGGACGAAGACCAGGGCATAGAGGATGAGCTCTGGTGTGTGAGGCACAGAGTGGAAATCCATGAGCAGCACGTAGGCAAAGAGCAGCAGGAAGGCGATATAGAAGACCACGTTCCAGGAGAAGACCACGAATGGTGAGGTGAAGAAAGCCAGGTAGGACCAGATGAGCCTTCTATGTCTGTCAATGGGCTTCTTCCTGAGGTGGGAAAGAAATGAACCCAGGGAGTTTGGTCCTTTGGAAGTGGAACCTGCTCCTTGTGAAATGGATCTGTGCCCTTTGTATGGTCATATCTGAAATAGCTCAGCTTGCCACCTCCTACAGGAAGTTCACTGGATTCTTCCAGCCCACCCCAGCCCACCCCCAATGACTTTGAACCTACCTATAAATATTTCGTATTTACTTTCTGTGTCCCATTATTTTCCCAATAGAATGGACCCTACCCTTGAGGGGTAGGTGCTTGGCAAAGGCTGGTGAATGAATGAATGAATGAATGAATGAATGAGTTCATAGTAATGCTTTGAGGACAAAAATCCTTTGTCCACTGAATAAGGCTAGCCTTGGGTTGAACCTGCTTATTTTTTTTGAGACAATCATGGTTAAGTGACTTGCCCAAGGTCACACAGCTAGTAAGTGTCAAGCATCTGAGGTCAGATTTGAACTGACTCCAGGGCTGGTGCTGTATTTACTGCACCACCTAGCTGCCCCATGAACCTACTTATCATGTTCCCATTTTTAGATGGATTAGAAACCCACTTCGAGAAGACAAAAACACTTCAGATAGCCACCCTTTGTTCTCATTGCCAAAATTAAGCACTGCTTAATATTACCAACCAGGAAGTTCAGAATTAGGCATCTCTGCCCTCCCACCTCCAGGCTTTTGCACATGCTACCCCCCAGGAGTGGAGTGCCCTCCCAGCTCACTTTTACATCTTAAAATCCCTAGATCTAAGAAAGGCTCAACCCAAGTGTCCCCCGGTCATCCAGATCCACCTCTCCTTATATATTAAGGCCCCCTTCCAATGACTTCAGATTTGCCTTATCCTGCTTTCAGTAGCCTGTACTATATTGCTACCAGCACATTTGTTTTCAAAATTCGGCACATTTTTAGAGTCCGTTATTACAAGTCACCATGGAAAGTTTCAAGCAGCTGTGGCCATGCAAAAGAAAAGAGTTTGCAGCCCAGTAGGATAAATTATACGCATACAATACAACATATAGAATACAAATATGTGTGCACACATATACATATCTATGTATATGCACATAAATGTTTATGGCATAAGGAAACATGTAGTGAGTGCCATAGGAGAGGTGCAGACGTCCCAGTACTACAGGAGTGAACCACTCTGATCTTGGCCAAATCACCTTTCCATCTCTGCTCTGCCTCAGGAAGTTGGATAGGGTGTTCTCTGACATCCACCAGGTTCTAGATCTGTGGCCTAGCTTGTAACTTTTCTTGCCTCAGTTTACCCATCTGGAGCATGAAAGGGTTGGATTACATGACCCTGAAGGTCCCTTTCAGCTCTAAACCTAAATGCTTTGATAGAATGACACCAGGATGTGACTCAAATCAAGCTTGGTCATACCAAGTGCTGGTTGGGGGCAGCTCCACGAAGGGCCTGCCATGACAAGAGGCCAATGGTAATTACTAGAGGTCACTCCCTGGTCATCTGCCTTTTCATTCACTTTCCTTCTCTGAATGAGCCTTTTAAGGAAAACCATGGTCATTACCTGAAGGACACAAAACCACAGCCCACCAAAGGTATGAGAAACAGGCATAGAATGATCTTCCAGTTCTTGGTGTCCCGGGATATCTCTCCATACCATTGCTTGGAAAGGAAATTCTGGCGGCAATAGAGACAAAAGAATGGAGGCCATTCTCTGTCAGGGTGGGAAAGAGACAGACAGGACAAAAAACTTGCTTCCTCCATCCTCTACCACTCTCCCCACCTTGAAAATACCACCACTCTGAAACAATGTCTAATAGTACAAATCAGATTCACAAGCTGAATACAAACCTGCCACAGTCAGTTCTCTATTATGTACCTTAATGGAGAGGGAGAGAAGAGTGAATAATTCATAGAAGTAGATAGCCTCTCCCCAAGTTCCCCCAATCCACCCCCCCCCAATTGCCTGGGCTGAGCTTTGAAATCTACCCACACAGACCTGAATCATGCTCAAACCTCTACTCCCTGTGGTCCCAGCCCTGGGGCGGACTTGCTGTTGGTGAACTGTGACCCATCTATAACCACAAATCAACTACTGTTTGGATGATTCACTTATGGACCAATCATCAGCAAGTGATAGTATTCACATAAACACACTCTGATTTTTGTCCAGTGCTGATTGCTGTAAAAATGGAATTTGCAGAAGGCTGACCTAATATCACTTGTGCTTGCTCCCATCTGGATTCAGGCTTGAGCAGACAGGGTCTACACTTAGCACCCATCATATACATCATATACCCCATTCTTATAGAGCCTGGGCTCTGTGCTCTTTTTATAAATGTACTGAATACAGGTATAGATGACATGCTTATCAGATGGGCTGAAAAGGTGACTTATAATTCATTGGAGAAGAAAACAGGACACAAAAAAATCTAAACAGGTTGGAACCTTTGGTTGAATCTAATAAGATAGCACTATATAAAGGTAAATATAAAAATGTACAGTCTGGCATAGAAATCAACATTTCCCATATAAGATGGTAGAGGCATGGTGAGATGGTTAGTGTGTCTGAAAACAATTTTTTGTTGGCCTGCAAGGTCAATGTAAGGCATCAGTGTAATAAGGCAGATGACAAAGGTGGTGAGAAATTAGGCAGCATGAAGGGGTACAGAATGCCTGTTTTACTCTTCTTGGTCAGCCTGTATCTGTAGCATTGGCTTAGGTTCCAGGTACTACATTTTAAGAAAGACTTGAGTTAGTTGGAAAGAATCTGGAAAGAACTACATGTGAGTAGGTTGGAGAAGGGTTTCAAGATGTAAGAGAAGTGAGGGCAGAGCCAAGATGGTGGAACGAAAGCAGTGACTTGCTTGAGCTCTCCCCCAAACCTCTCCAAATACCTGTAAAAAATGGCTCTAAACAAATTCTAGAGCAGCAGAACCTACAAAATGATAGAGTGAAATGAATTTCTAGCCCAAGACAACCTGTATGGTTGATTGGAATGGTCTATCGTGCCAGGCTGGGAGAGAAATGCAGTTCAGCATGGGTGTGCACTCAAAGAGCAGGCCTCAGTGAACCTGGAGCAGGCCTCAGGGGACTGAATCATGGGCAGCTGTGGTGGTTTCCAGACTTCTCAACCCAGAAATGCCAAAGACAACTTAGAAGGTTAGTAGGAAAAGTCTGTGACCTCGGTGAGAGAAAAGCTAGGTTCCAGCCTCAGTCCTGGCTGCTTCTGGAGCTTCTGGTCCACAGACTGAGGGGGAAATGAGTGGCTGATCAGAGGGAGGTTGCAGGGATCTCTCTGCTGGTGCTGAGGCAGCATTCCCTTGCTTTGACTGTGCTTGGATATGGGTCACGATTCTGGGTGGTGATCTTGAGGTGAGGAGGAGTGCTGGCATGGTACAGCTTGTAGTGGCAGTAGAGAGGGAATCTTCTTCATAATTCCAAGGCAAAAAAGAGTGCTTGTGGTCACTCACAGATCAGAGCACAGGCCGGGAAAGGAGTAAACACCTCATCTCTTATCATACCACCTTGGAACGGCTGAAAATTTTCAGGTCCCTAGAAGTACCTCTGAAAACAGCTGCACAAAACCCCCAAAGCTTGGGACAGTACTTTCTCCACACTGGAAGCAGACTCCTACCTTAACAGAGTTTAAAACTCAAGAAATTGGCTGGGATCATGAGCAAACTGTGCAAAAAAAGTCAGACCATAGAATCTTTCTTTGGTGACAAAGAACATCAAAACACACAACCAGAAGACAAAAGTCAAAGCTCCTACATTCAAAATCTCCAAGAAAAATATGAATCAGCCCCAGGCCATGGAAGAGCTCAAAAATGATTTTGAGAAGCAAGTAAGAGAAGTAGAGGAACAATTGGGAAGAGAAATGAGAGCGATGCAAGAAAATCATGAAAAACTAGTCAGCAGCTTGCTAAAGGAGACCCCAAAAAACACTGAAGAAAATACCTTAAAAAATAGCCTAACTCAAATGGTGAAAGAGGTCCAAAAAGCCAATGAGGAGAAGAATGCCCTAAAAAGCAGAATTGGCCAAATAGAAAAGGAAGTCCAAAAGCTTACTGAAGAAAATCCTTCCTTAAAAATTAGAATGGAGCAATTGGAAACTAGTGACTTCATGAGAAATTAAGACATTGTAAAACAAAAACAAAAGAATGAAAAAATAGAAGACAATGTGAAAAATCTCACTGGAAAAACAACTGACCTGGAAAATAGATCCAGGAGAGATAATTTAAAAATTATTGGACTATCTGAAAACCATGATTACAAAAAGAGCCTAGATATTATCTTTCAAGAAATTATCAAGGAAAACTGCCCTGATATTCTAGAACCAGAGGGTAAAATAGAAATTGAAAGAATCCACTGATCACCTCATGAAAGAGATCCCCAAAGGAAAACTCCTAGGAATATTGTAACCAAATTCAGAGTTCCCAGGTCAAGTAGAAAATACTGCAAGCAGTCAGAGAGGAACAACTCAAGTATTGTGGAAACACAATCAGGATAACACAAGATTTAGCAGCTTCTACATTAAGGGCCCAGAGAGCTTGGAATATGATATTCCAGAGGGCAAAGGAGATAGGGTTACAACTAAGAATCACCTACCAGCAAAAATGAATATAATACTTCAGTGGGAAAAAATAGACATTCAGTGAAATAGAGGACTTTCAAGCATTCTTGATGAAAAGACCAGAGCTAAATAGAAAATTTGACTTTCAAATATAAGACTCAAGAGAAGCATGAAAAGGTAAACAGGGAAGAAAAATCATAAGGGACTTATTAAGGTTGAACTGTTTACATTCCTGCATGGAAAGAGGATATTTGTAACTCATGAGACCTTTGTCAGTATTAGGGTAGTTGGAGGGAAAATATTATATGTGTAGATAGATCAATAAATAGAGGGCACAGGATGAATTGAAGATGAATAGGTAATATCTGGAGAATAAAATTAAGGGGTAAGAGAGGATTATACTGGGAGAAGGAGCAAGGGAGAGGTAGAATGGGGTAAATTATCTCACATAAAACATACAAGAAAACACTTTTATAGTGGAGGAGAAGTGGGGGAAGGTGAGAGGGAATGAGTGAATCTTATTCTCATAGGATTTGGCTTAAGGAGGGAATAACATACACACTCAATTGGGTATGGAAAGCTATCTTACCCTATAGGAAAAGAGAGAAGAAGGGGATAAGGGGGGTGGGTGGATGATAGAGGGGAGGGCAGATTGGGGAAGGGGTAATCAGAAGCAAACACTTCTGAGGAGGGCCAGGGTCAAAAGAGAGACTACAATGAACAGGGGGCAGGATAGGATGAGGGGAAATATAGTTTTCCACAGCATGACTACCGTGGAAGTGTTTTGCATGACTACATAAGTATAATCTGTATCAAATTGCTTGCCTTCTCAATGAGGGTGGGTGGGGAGGGAGCAAGGGAGAAAATTTGGAACCCAAAGTTTTAAAAACAAATGTTAAAAAATTGTTTTCATATGCAACTGGGAAATAAGATATACAGGCAATGGGATATAGAAATCTATCCTGCCCTACAGGAAACTAGAAGAGGAAGGGGATAAGAGAAGAGGGGGAAGATAGAAGGGAGGGCAGATTAGGGGAAAGGGTATTCACAATGCAGGCTGTCTTGGGGGTGGGGGAGGGATGAGATGGGGAGAAAATTCAGAACTCAAAATCTTGTGGAAGTGAATGTTGGAAACTAAAAATAAATAAATTAATGAATCTTTATATATATCTATATATCTATATATCTATATATCTATATATATATATATAAAACAAATAAAGGTGAATGAACACCTGAAAAAAAAAGATGTAAGAGAATCACTGGAATTGAGGATGTTTACCCTTAGAAGAGAAGCCAGGGGCTGGGGGTGAACAATAACTATTAGCAGGCGAGCTCTTGAGACTGGTTTTGCTTGCTCTCTATCTCCAGCACTTAGCACAGTTCCTGACACTTAGCAGGCACTTTATAAATCCCTGTTGCCTGCCTTGATGACTGAGAGACTTTTTTCAAGTATTAGGAGGAGTGTCCCAGAAGAGAGATTAGCTTTGTTCTACATCCCCCCTCCCCCAAGGCCAAACCAGGAGAGGAGTGGAAGTGGCAAAGAGGTGAATTTAGGTTTGAGATCAGGAAAACCTTCCTAACACTTAGTGCTGTCCCAGAGTGCAGTGGGCTACATCCCGGGATGATGCCCATTGATGGCCATAGCAGAGAGGAAATGATTTTTAAAGTACATATGGGATAGAACTGTCTTAGGAGTTCCTTCCAAAGCTGGGATTCTGGTAACTAGTTCACACTAAGTTGGACTGGGAACTAGGTGTCCACTGCCTCCTACTCCTTAGCTTTTTCTGCTACCCCAAACAACTTCAATTCAAGTGAATCAAATAAACATTTATTAAGGACCTTCTGTATACCAGGAAATATACAAAAAGTAGGAAGGTAAAGACAAGTCCCTGCCATCATGGAGCTGCCCTTGGACGGGAGCAGCTTCCTATTGCTAGTATCTCAAATGTCAGGCAAATAAAAATGCCCAGTGGCAGGTCGGATGTTCAGGCAAGATTGCAGGTTTATGTGCATGGCTAGAGATCATCTCAGAAGGCAGGTAGCTCCCCCTCCATGAGGGAGATGAGAAAGAAGCTCAGAACTGAGAAAGGAGGTCTAGTCAAGACCAAATTAAGTCAAAGTGAGTTTAAATGGAGAGAAAACCCTCCTGAAAGTGTTGATGGAAGCCTCTTTGATCAGCTGTGGCTGAAGAGTCGGGCCTGGGGGTGCTGTCAGAGGCTGATCCAACCTAGTCCTCTTTCCCATGCCATGTTTTTCCTACAGAAAAGGAGCATTGCTGGCAACTGTCTCCATGATCTGATGAGGAAGTGCCCACTGTCTGGACGTTTTCTAGACTCCCATTGAGCTGGATGGGCTCTCACCTGGACTCCTGGCTGTGCAATGAACTGCTGATCTGTGGCTTCCACAGCGAGCTCCAGACAGTTGCTGCCCCCCCAGGCCTCACAGGTATACACCAGGAGCTGTTCGGCCAGATCTTCATCATTGCTGTAGCATTCTGTGAAGAGTTCTAAGACAGAGACAAAGAGAGTCAGAGACAGACATGTAGAGAGACAGAGTGAGCTCTTCAGGGACGGAGAGAGATGGAGACACAGAGAGAAAGACATGATGAATGACACAGAAACAGGAATATGATGGGAGACAGAGACACAGAGGAGATAATAAGGGACACAGAGAGAGTCCAAGACAGGGATAGAAACACAGTTACAGAGAGACAGAGAGAGAGACAAGAAAAGAGATGCAGGCAGAAGGAGAAAGATGCAGAAAAAGAGAGACAGTGAGGGGTACAAAGAGCTAAAGAAAGAGATGGAGAGACACACAGAGAGACGGAGAGACGACCTTTGGACAAGAAAACTCATGAGAAAAATGGCTAACAGCAGATTCGTGGGCAGGATAAACAGGGAGTGAGTTAGAGATGCCCGTGATGGGATCAGGTCACCAGACCTCTGGAGCTACCATCAGGCACTGAAGGATTGGGCAGCAGTGACCGATGATGTATGTGCTGTGAGCTGGAAAGTCAGGACAGTGGGCAGGAGAGAGATGGTAACAAATGGCAGGAGGGCAGAGCAGACACCAGTGACCTGGGGTTTGGGGCTGCTCCTGTCTCAGAGGAGCAGAGCAGGAGAGCCATGAGCCAGGACAGGGCTGCCAGTGCCCTTCTCTTCTTGGCCACTCACCCACGGCGTGAGTCTCATACTCATTCGCCAGCTCTTCGGATTCCCCTGCAGCGTTGATGTCATTTTTCACCTTAGCGAGGGTCTTCAGCAGCTTACTGGCTCCCAGGGCTGCCAGAGTGCAACCTCTGGTCTGTGGAGGGACCAGGACAATGTCAGGATTGGTTCTAATCACCATCAGCCCCATATCAGGTTTGTTAAGGGCTTTACATTCATGTCTCATTGGAACCTTGACCACCTTGGGAGGTAGGTGCCATTATTATTCCCATTTCACAGATAAGGAAACTGAGGGTTAGAGAGAGCACATGACTTGCCCAAAGTCACACAGCCAGTAAGGTTATGAAGCAGGAATTGGCTTCAGGTCTTCCCAACTCTGAGTCTAGAGCATTAACTGCTCTACTGGCCATCAGTCAGCTGCAGGACAGCTGGGGAGTGATGAGTCACTGCCAGGACCCCTCTGGCTTAGCAAATCCTGGCATTCAAGGCTCTGCTGATCCTCCTCCCCTCCCAGATAAGTGTCTCACTCTTTAGCCCAAAGGGACAATTCTCCATTTCATAAAAGTCTTGTGCTTTCCTACTCCTGGGCCTTTGTTCTCATCATCCCCTCTCTGTCACCTGAAACCCACCCATTAATACAGATATGAACTGGAGCTGGAAGACCTAGAGTTGGAAAGGGCCAGAGGTCACCAAGTGCAATGAGCAGCCTCCAGGAAGGGGACTCGTGGGAGCCTCAGGGCCAGCTCTGCTACTTCTTCCATTGGGGACCTTGGAGAAAGTACTTTGACATGCATGGGCCTCAGTTTCTTCATCAGTAAAATGGCAGTGTAGGCCCGCATGACCTTGGAGCCCCCCTTTCCACTCAAGATACAACTCTAACTCATTTTACAGACAAGTTGCTGCTTGGCCTCAGGGAGAAGCCGGCCACAACGGTCACATCCTGGGGCAGGCCGAAAAAGGGAGGAAAGAAAGAAGATAACAGCAGAAACTTAAGGCAAACTCTATTCAGCCTGTCAGTTCCTCTACCCAGGGATTCTTTGCCTCTACAACAATACGTTATATTTGATTTTTGCATACAATCATACACATTCGTGGTATCATTAAATCATACATTTAGAGCTAAAAGGAACCTTGGAGGGGATCTAGTCTGGTCCCTTCATTTACAGATGAGGAAACTGAGGCCCAGGGACACGAGGTTACCTGCCCAAGGTCACATAGGTAGTAAGTATAAGAGGTAGGATTGTTATTTAGGAAGCTGTCACTTAGAAGATGTCCTTCTGCCAGACAAACATTTCATTTCATTGATGAAAATATTGGGAGTAGGACCCCGGCTCTGGGAAAGCCAGAGAGGAAAATGGCCAAGGGGCAAGGAGAGGGCTTTTACCTGCTCCCAAATGACCTTGGAGAGCTCCTTCTTGTTTTGCAGAATGGCCCAGATGAACAGGGCTTGCAGCGGGTGTCTTGTGATCGGTGACACATCCTGAGGAAGAGGAGGAGAACATCTGGTCAGCATTGAGGGAGGGGAGTGATGTTACGTGTGCTAACACATATCAGCCACATGAAAAGCACCGATGGTCACACAACTGGTTACTTGGCCTCAAACCTGCTTCACTATAAAAATGAAAAAAAGAGGCCCAAGAACCCTCAGGAAAGTGATTCCTGCTTAGAGGGCAATGCAATGTGAAGAAAGGAGTCCATAAAACAAACCCCATGATTTGATCTTAGTAATGTAGCAGGTTAATCACAGAATCACAGAATTTTAGAGGCAGGAGGAACTTCAGGAGCAGCACTGGCTTAGTCGGACCCAAGCACCTCCAGAATTCCCCAAACCTACTAAGTGCTCATGCATTCACTCAGCAAGCATCTGTTAAGAACCTCTCTGAACCAGACACAGTGAGGGATACAAAGAAAAACAATGAAACAGACCCTGACCTCAAGGTGCTTACATTCTCCTGGGGGTAGGGGTGGGGAAATGGCATTCACACTGCAAATTAAAAACAAAATATATACAAACTAACTTATAAGGGGTGGAAAAGATATTCAGTCTTTGCTTTAAGACCTCCAGGGAGATAGCCCACTTCACTCTGGGACAGCTCTAATTTTTAGGAAGTTTTTCCTGGTATCAAGGCTTAAATGCCTCCTCCCCCCCCCCGCTCCCCCGTCCCCACGTCCCATTGCTCCTACTTCTGCTCTTGGGGGCAAAGCAGAACAAGACAAATCTTTTTTTTTTTTTCCCCATGGGATGACCTCTTAAGTACTTGAAGTCAGTCACACTTCCAGTTCTTGTCCCAGCATAAAGTGAGACTAAGGTAACTGGAGGCAGAGTTAGCTGCCATGTTCTCTATGAAACCATCCATGAAACTGAGCAGGCTAAGAATGATTCTTCCCTATGTAGGCATAGATGTTATTTGGCTTCTATAGATTTTTCAGGCTAGTCATTGAGCCCAAATAGAATGAAGACTAGAAGGAGCCAGGAAAGATTAGAATTGTAGAACTTAGAACTAGACAGGGCCTCAGAGGTCACCTGGTCCAACCCATCAGTGGTCTGTTAAATAGTTCTGGAAGAAATCAAGGCAGCTCAAACACCGCAGAATCACAGAATTTGAGAGCTGGAAGAGCCCTCCCCAGCCTTGGAGTCCAACCACACATGAAGGAAGCCCCACTACAAAATACAGGACAAGTGGTTGGCCAGCCTCTGCTGGAGGACCTCTAATGAAGGGCAGCCCACTGATGCTCCAGGCTTCCCTTCCATGCAAGGACAGCTCTCATTGGTAAGGAGTTTTGCTTGAAATCCAGCCTGAATTTCTTTACAACTGTCACCCACTGTTCCTGGCTCTGTCCTCTAGGGCCAAACAAAATGAATCTATCAGTGAGGTAATGTATAAAGTGCTTTGTAAAGCTCAGGGCCTGATACAAATGCTGGCTCTAATGATGATGTTGAATCGCTCTTCAAATACTTGAAGACAGCTACTATTCCTCCCCTCCCTCACCCTGGTGGTCGCTTCTCCTGGCTAAACCTCTCCTCCTTCAACAGAGCCTCATACAGCCCGGCCTCAAGGTCAGACAGGGTTGTTCACATAGCATGGCCATCCTCCTCGGGACCCTCTCCAGACCATCAATGTCCTCCTTAAACCATAAAACCTAGAAGGGAACTCAGTCATCCAGCCAGGTCTGACCCAGCAGAGAGCAGCAGGGTGGTTTGTCTGTCTCTTTCCTCTGACCCCCTGAAGGCTGCTTGAGATTGCATTAACTCACAACTTCTGCTGACTCAGATTGAGTTTGTAATAGATTAAGCCCCCCAGATCTTTGTCAGAAGATCTTCTGTCTAACTTTGCCTCCCAATTTCCTACTGTTTTGTGCCCAAATCTACATTTGTTCCTATTGAATTCCATCATAGTAAATTCAACCCAAGGCCCCAGCCTATCAAAATTGCTTTGGAACTGGACTACTGTCCAATGTCTCACCTCTCCCTAGATCCAAGGTCACACAAGTACTCTGGTATAGATGGACCATTTATATTAGAGCTGGAAGTGACCTTAGTGATAACTGAGTCCAACTCTATCATTTTACAGATGAGGAACCTTGGGCTTGGTGACTTGCCCAAGGTCAGTGGGATAGGAAAGGACAGAATCGTCAGTGCCATAATTGAATACCCCCAAAACATCTGACAATGCCCATATTTTAATTCACTTTTTCAGGGGTGTCAGAAAAGCCCTTGGGATTGAGCTGGCTATTCTGCCTATCTCGAACCTGGAGCTCAATGTCCAGATCCTCCCTGCTGCTCCTGTCTTCCTTCCTGTACCCTCTTCGGAAGTTTGCCACCAGCTTCCAGACAAAGGTGAGGAGTGCATCGTTGTAGGAGTTCTTGGCGATCTGCAGGTTGCGGTACACAAGACTGCTGAAATTGTTGGAGAAGAGCTCGGTGAGGACATCATTGGTGAGGAACTTCCTCAGGTTTAGGCCATTTTCCAGAAAGAGGCGGACGAACTTGGGTCTGTCCTTCACCAGGGCTGAGAACATGACTTCCTGAAGGTCGGCAGACTGGCAATGGGAAAGGGAAGGAGCATTTATTAAGCACCTACTATATATCAGGTGCTGTGCTAAACATTTTACAAATATTATCTCATGTACTCCCCACAACAGCCCTGGGAGGTGGGTGCTATTAAGATCCCCACTGTATGAGCAGAACCAGGAGAACATTGTACACAGTAACAGTGACATTATGTGATGCCCAACTTTGACAGACTTAGCTCTTCTCAGCAGTGCAAGGATCTAACACAACTCCAAAAGACTCATGATGGAAAATGCTATCCACAGCCAGAGAGAGAACTGTGGAGTCTGAATGCAGATCAAAGCATGCTATTTTCACTTTTGTTGTTGTTCTTTTTTTTTACTCATGGTTTTCACCTTTTTTTCTGATTCTTCTTTTGCAATATGACTAATATGAAAATATGTTTAACATGGTTGTACATGTATAGCCTATATCAGATTGCATGCAGTCTTGGGGAGGGGGAAGGGAAGGGAGAGAGAAAAATTTAGAACTCAAAATCTTATGAAAGTGAATGTTGAAAACTAAAACTAAATAAATGAATAAATTAGATTCCCACATTACAGTTGAGGAAACCAAGGCAGACAGGTGACTTTTCCTGGGCCACGCAGTAAATGTCTGAGGCTGGATTTGAACTCGAGTGCTCCTGATTCCAAGCCCATACCTCTATGCACGGCATCACCTACCTTCCAGGAAGCTGGCGACTGAGGAAGGAAAAAGGCGTGACCCCAAGCCTAGGGCTCAGGGGTCATTGCAGTTACATTTGCTTCTTGACCATGACTTTGGTGAACCAGAATGGAGAGGTCCTTGCAAAGTGTGAGAGGTGAAACTTTCCTAAAGATTCCCCCACTCTGCCTGGCCTGGGCTTGGCAGTGAGCTACCATCTTCCCAGTTGGCTTCTTCCTCACCTCCCATCTTCGGTCATTGGTGAAGATTTCCTCGTTGGCCAGGTCCAGCTGGTTCCACTCGAGCAGCAGCTTCAGTTGGCCATTCCAGTTGTCCTTCTCCTGTTCGTTAGTGCTGAAGGCTGGTGAAGGGAGGGGAGCAGGGTGAAAACAACCGAAGACTGAGGCACCAGGGGGCTTGTCTGGGTTTGCCTACAATAGTTATCTGGACCCGTAGGTGACAGATAGTGCTCAAGGTGATTGTTAATCTATCCCTACACTTAAACTTTGTTCCAATGCTCCAAATGTGACTATGCGTGCAGTGGTAATGCTGTTCTAGGTGACCCCCCCAAAGCAATAGACATGTGACCAGAGGAGAGGGCTTGGGTTTGAATCTCAGCTCCATGCTTGGTCACTTGACCTCCCTAGGCCTAAATTTCCTAGCCTGTAAAAGGAGGGGCTTAGATGAGATGACCTCTAATATCCCTTCCAGCTCTAAACCCATGATCTTAAGATCCCACGATTATTGTAACTTTGCTTCCATGGGCCTAGTTGGAAAGTGATCTGAGGAGCTGACCTAGACCAGTGGTGTGGAACTCAAATGGAAATGGGGGGAGGGGGCACTAAACTGCCCATAAGGCTCCCTGTGGGCATATATTGACCTAGAAAACCTCACATTAACATTATCTATGTTTTGCTGTATTTTTATTTATTTGGTTAAATATCTCCCAATGACATTTGACCTAGCTGGGGTCACACTTGGGAGGGTTGCCAGCATTCAGCAGGGCAGCACGTTTGGCACCTCTGACTTACTCAATCTGAAGCCCCTACAGGCCTTAATCCCATGATCTTATAATGATAATATTCATATTTTAAAGGCTTGCACTTGGGTAGCATCACTGGGCGAATGTTCATTTGGACTTTTTATAAGATCAGTCTCTGTGTCAGGGAGTCATGAGGGTCATTCAAAAGCCTTCAGAATTTTCCAACCCATCTTTAATGCTTGTCTCAAATACATGAGTTGACTCCATTCAGAATCTAATAAGCATTTATTAGGCACCTACTGTGTGCAAGGCACTTAGGATACAGAAGCCTGTCCCTGTCTTTAGGGAGTTTACATTAGATTGGGGTTGGGCACACCATTGTCCTGGGAAGTAAGTTCTGCAAACAATAGTTTGTGGCCAGATGAGGCATTAAGGAGCTGCTGAGCTGCATATCAGCCATTTTCTGTCCTTTCATTTCTCCCCTCCTAGATTGTTAGGCTGATTTCATTAGAGAAAGAGTGGGTCTGCTTGAGGGGGCCCTTTGATGTTCTCGGGCTGGGTGGCATTGAGAACAGGAGCCCAGGGCAGGATTTCGTCATCAGTAGGAAAGTCTTCTCTCTTTCAATCACTTGTAGTAAATATAGTAATTTTCATTTAAATACAGATTATTGATGTTTGTAAAACAAAACTATGAGCTAGGAAAATATCCCCATCTTACAGAAGAGGAAATTGAAGTGCTGAGAAGGGAAGGGGAAAGGGAAGGGAATAAGCATTTATATGGAACCTACTGTGTGCCAGGCACTGTGTTAAGCACTTTGCACATGCTATCTCATTTGAGCCTCACAATAACCCTGGAAGTAGCTGTTGTCATTATCCCTATTTTAGAGTTGAGGAAACTGAGTCAAGTAAAGGTTAAGTGACTTGCCTAAGGTCTTGGTAGCATATCAGAATTCACATGCTTTGAAAGCTCAAGGTCCCCTGGGTGCTGTGCTGAAATGGTGTAGAAGGGTGTCAGTGGAGAATGCCACAAAAGACCTTTCCTTTCTCCAGCCCTCACAAGCTCTAACCCCATAGGAAGGTGCTAAGTCCTCTGTTCTTCAATGACCTCTATTCCAAACCCAGATTTCCAAAGTGAAGGCAGTGGGCAAAGTAGCCCCAAGTCAACATTCCTGGTGAGCAGTAGGATCTCCTCACCTTTGTAGAGAGCATAGGAGATGGCATTGCTCACGATTTCATCCCCAGCTTCTTCCATCTTGATAACTGTCAGCAGGTGAGGGTTTTCGAGGATTTCTTTGAGCTGCCAAAATGAAAAATAAAAACACATTACGTAAACTGATCCTGGTGTTGATGGGCACTGATGGGCTCTCTCTCTTTCTCTCCTCCCCTCTGTCTGTCTCTCTCTTTTTCTTTCTATTTCTGTCTCTTTCTCTCTGTCTTTACCTTACCTTCTGTTTGTGGACTAGGACCTCTCTGGCCCCCTTTAGAGACAAACAACATATGTGAGAATCTCTGCTGTCACACCCACATAGTGGTTAGTATGTGTAGACTTATCTGTAGGGAAGGACTGCCTCATTTTTGCCTTTGTGGTCTCAGCACTTCATTCACACAGTACCTGGCACATTGTAGATATACTGTAAATGCTCAGGGGAATAAATGGGATCCTTCTCTCATATACATGATTTATAATGCTGGCTTCCAACTTTTGCACCATAATCCAGTATCTAGCTTAATGAGGATGGACATATACAATATTAAGAATGGATATATACAGGTAAATGTTGCCTCCAATAAAAATTGCAGGCAAGGCGAGGAGTCTAGATGGAGAATGTGGGATATGCTGTCAGATGCAGTCCCTGTTGGTTGGCTTTGCTTAAATATTTGTCTTTTCAATAAGGAAGAGTTCAATGGGGTATAGGAAAAATAATTGGGATATAAAAAGCAAAAGTCAACAGCAAAAAAATGACCAAACAAAATTCTTCCAAATGGCTACTCTCAATAGAGTGGGAACACAAGTATATTTTTTTCTAATTTAAAATTTTTTTTTGAAACACAAGTATTTGCTAGGCAAGACCCAGCAACACTCTGAAGGAATGCTTAGGCCTTTGAGTTTAGGAATGAATCAATTGATCAGCATTTGTTAAGCACTTACCATGTTCCAGGCACTGTTTCAGGTGATGGATAAACAAAGACAAAGATGAAATAGTCCCAACTTTCAGGGAGCTTATGTTCTGATCAGGGAGACAAAGTGCACGTAGAGGGATGGACAAAACTCAGGGAAAGCAGGTCCACGGTGACATTGGGAAGGAGGATGGTACCAGGGGTAGGGGCACCAGAAAAGGCTTCACACAGAAGGTGGTCCCTGAACCGAGTTGAGGTGGAGGTGAGGAGGAGGAAGAGAAGGAGGAGGAGGAGAAGGAGGAGGAGGACCTTTCCAGGCATGCTGGGCAGCCAGTGCAGAGGTCTGGAGATGGGACATTGAGTCATGTGAAAAAGAGCTGGCATGCCAGTGTAGCCAGATGTGTGGGAGGAAGGCTGGAAAAAAGTAGGATGAAGCCAAGATACAAAGAGATTTAAATGCAAATGGAAGAGTTTAGATTTGATCCTAGAGGTGACAGGAAGCCACCAGAACATATTGAGTGTGCGAGTGACAAGGCTAGGACCTTGAAGAAAAACACTTTGGCTTCGGTGTGGAGGATGGACTGAAGCAGGGAGGAGACTTGAGGCAGGCAGACACTCCTCCCCTCCCCCAGCAGGTATTGCTGGTCGGAGTGAGTCATGGAGGGCTTGCACAGGGTGGGGGCAGGGTCAGAGGAGAGGTGGGGGCGACCTATATGAAAGATGTTGAGGTGGAAATTCCATAATTTTTACAATCAACATATTTTCTTTTATTAGACCAACCAACAGACATGTTAGTTCAGAGCTCAATATGGTTTTTAAACTGTAATTTTTTCAATTGGCAAACATTTATCTTTTCTCTTCCTTTCTCCCCTCCAATAGAAAAGAAAAAAAGAACCCTTATAATAATTATGCCTAGTAAAGCAAAGCAAATTCCCTCATTGACCATGTCCAAAAATGTGTCTCATTCTGCGTTTTGAGTCTCTGATCCATCTGACAGGGAGTGGGGTAGCATGCTTTAGCTCTGGTTCTTTGGAATTAGGGTCTGTCCTTGCACTAAAGTCCTATGATTTTGACTTCTGGTTGAGTTTATGAGGTGAGAAAGACTGAGGAGCTGAGGATAACTCCGGGGGTAAAACCTGGGACACTGGAAGGATGGGAGTGCCCTCAGCAGGAATGGAGAAGTTTGGAAAAGAAATGGGTTTGAGGGGGAAGCAAATGAGTTCTGTTGCGGGTGTCCATGGGCTAGGCAGCTGCCAACATCCAGGGGCAGTTCGTGATGCCAAGACTGAAGCTCAGGGGAGATACTAAAACTGCATAGAGGTGATAATGGCACCCTTGGGGACTGATGAGGTCACCAAGAAAGAATATGGAGAGTGAAGAGAAGAGGGGGCAGGGCAGGGCCTTGGAGGAAACTCGTGACCGGGAGCAGGCTGGGGGGTGAAGACCATCAGTGCCACGCTGGAGTTAGCTTTGCTTAAATGGCTTTCTTTGCTACAAGGAAAGGTTCAATTGATGTGAGGCATGGAGAGTTAGGAAAAAAATGAATGGGGTGTAAAAAGAAAAGGGCATAGGATTTTGGTTTCTGACCTAAGATTTCTGGGCACTCCCAGAGAAGAATCTCCCTTACCGATGCAGGCCAGCACCTGCTCTGCCATTTATAAGATTAGAAATTTTCATGAAGCGCCTCGAAGTTGAGACTTACCCAGGGTCACACAGCCACTATGTATTCCGGGGGGACTTGTACGTAGGTCTTCCTGACTCCAGAGTAGTTTCTCTTATCAATAAAACTTAAGAAAGAAAACTTTTAAAAACTGAATAATCTTATTAGAATAGAGTCTAATGAAAAGCAATCCTTATTAGCCAACCCTAAAATATTTGTTCTTTGCCTTCTATGTGCAAGGCATGATGTGACTGGAAACTGGGGAGCAAACATGACTCAGTATCTGGCTTAGACCCCCTCATTTCCTCGACTCTTTCTTTCACAGAGATGCTGCTAGGCTAGGTGCCATCTCTTTAAAATGTGCCCAATTTTTAGCCCTCAAATTAAAGACAAAATCTGAAGGAGTTGACTCTAATGAGCAGAGAGGCTCTGCTGGAGCTCCCCCGGAGCCTGACAGAACAGTTCTGAAGGAGAAGGAGAACATTCATGAGCTGAGGATGTTCATGGGAAATAGTGGCAATGAGAAGAGGAACAGGCATTCCAAAAAGTACTCAGTTCCAGTTCAGGGAGACAGAGGAAGGCCAGAGAGGGAAGCTGACATCCCAAAGTGAGCCAGAGGGCAGCACTTATTCTAGAATTATGGTGATGGCTCTGCCTCAATCTGGAATTTGTATTTCTAAAAATAAAGTCACGCTACTTTTACTTGCTGTGAACTTTCTTTCTCCTGGCTGATAGTATGGAACACAAAACAAAGTATCGAAAGAGAGCATTTGAGACTCTGTCTCAGCTAATTATCTCCCTAAACAGCTGGGACCATGCACTTACTTAGAAAGCACTTTGTGAATGAAAGAATTGATGGAAGTTTGGATGGAAGGATGGATGGATAGATGGATGGATGGATGGATGGATAGGTGGATGGATGGATGGATGGATGAATGATGGATGAATGAATGGGTGGATGGAAGGATAGATGGATGTTGAGGGATGATTTGAACTCCAGGTTCAGTTTTAGCAGCATTGGGAAAGTAAAGTGCCCTTCATTGCCAGAGAGAAAAGTCCTTCAGGAAGACACCTTGGAGCAGTGTCCACAAAGTTGAATTTGGAGGAACCAGGGCTCATTGCCCTGCTGCCTGGCATCGATTACCCAGAATAAAATGTCTCAGCTTAAGTTAATCACCTCCAATCTCACCACCATGCACTCATGCCTTGACAGGCACCACTTCCCTTAGCCTCCTCTCCCCTCTGATTGGAGGGCTGGAGGGTGGAGCATCAGGTTCCTCCCACTGCCTTCCTTGATCCAGAAACTGGATTCTCAGTTCTCTCCCCTCTGCATCTACTGCTTCATTGGTTTCAAATCCACAGATGCCCCAGGGCTGGTACCTCCTGATACCCTCACCTCACCCTTTCCTCCCTCCTTTTCTATGTTGTCTCCTCCCATTAGACTATAAATTCCTGGAGGGCAGGGACTGACTTTTTATTAATTGTATCCCCAGTGCTTAGCCTGGCACACAGTAGGTGCTCAATAAATGTTGATTACGTTGGATGGTTTGAACCTTGTTTCTGCCTTCCTTTCTTGCTATATGTTTGAACTTGAAAAAGTCACTTCACATCTCTGGGTCAATTGATCAATCACATGTTTATTAAGCCATGCTACCACATGGCAGGCACTTTGTTAGGCACCAGGGATACAAAGACAAAATCATCTCTTCCCTTAAAGAGCTTACAATCTAGCCAATTGGGCCCCAGTTTCCTCCTCTGGAAAAAGAGAGGGGAGTCAAACTAGAAGGTGTCCAAGGGTCCTTCCAGCTCTATATTTATGACCTAATCCACTATTTAACAAAATATTCATAGATTCACTCTTTTTGGTAATAAAAAAACCCACCAAAAACCTGAGAACTAAATGGATGGCCAGAATTGGGGACTGGCTGAGTAAATTTCCCTCCCTCAGTGAAATATGATTGCACTGTGGGACTTGATGAGTCTGAGGGATTCAGGGAAACAGATGAAGGCTTGTATGGAGTGATGCTGCCTGATGAAGGAACTAAGGAAGTCAATGTGCCCCAGAGGACACTGATGTCATCAATGACGCTCCTTGAGGGCAGCAGAGCCAAGGCCCAATGAACAAGGAAGGATAGGGGTATATTCATGTTCCATGTGTCTGTTGGCTTTTATTTATTAGAAGGATGAAAGGTGAGGGGCAGGGGAGGGGAAGTGACTACAACCTCAGGACAAAAGGCAACCAGACACCTTGAAGTCTGTGTTTTTATCCTGATTTTTTTTAGCTTTAATTATGTTTTATCCTGGTTTTTGTAGCTTTAAGTCTATGTTTTTATCTTGGTTTTTTGGAGCTTTAAGTCTATGTTTTTAGCTTTAAGTTTATGTTTTTATCCTGGTTTTTGTAGTTTTAAGTCTATGTTTTTACCCTGGTTTTTGGAGCTTTAAGTCTATGTTTTAATCCTGGCTTTTGGAGCTTTAAGTCTACGTTTTTCTCCTGATTTTTTTTTGAGCTTTAAGTCTATATTTTTAACCATGGTTTTTGTAGCTTTAAGTCTATGTTTTTATCCTGGTTTTTGGAGCTTTAAGTATGTTTTTATCCTGGTTTTTGGAGCTTTAAGTCTATGTTTTTATCCTGGTTTTTGGAGCTTTAAGTCTATGTTTTTATCCTGGTTTTTGGAGCTTTAAAAGGTTGCAGGATTCCCACAAAGTTCTCTCTGGCTTCCCTTGAAAACTAGACCTACCTTTGTGCTACCTGTTGCTTCTTCTTTGTCCTAACCTCATTCCCCTCAGTACTGACTCACCCATCGGATCCAGCTTTCAGTTTCTTCTTCTGGGAGTCGGGAAATGGTTCGGGGCAAATACTTGATGAGCTTTTCTTTGACTGTAGATGATGCCAGGGAGTCTTCAGCGTCTATCAGGCTGGCAATGACATCAGCGATCTGCCCAGAGCCCTCCACCACCACGCAGGGGATTTTATTTTTGATGGCTGTATTGATGGCCTTGGGAATGGAAAGGAGAAACTGGGCAGTGGAGGAAGCAGAGGGTGAGGGAGCAGCCTGAAGAGTGAGTGCCCAGTGACTCCTGGGACTAGGCTGCCCACGAAGGCCACAGAAGCCTGTCTTGACTTCTTACCCCCAGAGTGTCCTACTGCGGAAAATCATAGTGCAAAGAGCCCTGGGGTCTGGAGTCTGAGAACCTGCATTTGAATCCCTGCTCTGCTCCTTCCTCTGTGGCCTTAGACAAAGCCTTTCCCCTCTCTGGGCCTCAGTTTCCTCATCTGTCAAAAGAGGGGATTGAATTAGAGGGCCTCTGAGGTCTCTCACGGAGCTGAATCTGTGATCATTTATCAAATGGGTTGCCATTGTATTAACTTAAAACAGTAAAACTTGGGGCAGCTAGGTGGCGCAGTGGATAGAGCACTGGCCCTGAAGTCAGGAGGACCTGAGTTCAAATCTGGCCTCAGACCAAACACTTGACACTCACTAGCTGTGTGACCCTGGGCAAGTCACTTAACCCCAATTACCTAAAAAAACAAAAAACAGTAAAACTTTTGATGCTCATCCTGAAGTTCCTCATTTTATAAAATAACAATAATGATAATAACAATAATAATAAGTCAGAATGGAATGAATTCATGGGATCCATATTTAAAAATTAGTTGGCTCCCTTCCTCCCTCCCCCCAAATAGATACCCACATGGAAGAGGCAGAGGCAGTGTAGCATCATAGAGAGAACTAGCTTCAGAGCCAGAAAGATTCGGGCCCAAGTCCAGTCTCTGGTCCCTTCTGCCCGTGTGACCCTGGACAATGGCAATTTTTTCAGACATTAAATTGTAGGAAGCTGCCCACAGGCCGCAGAGAATTCCCTCAGCCAGAGTGTTTTAGGTCTAGTCCTCAGCCACAGGCACCCAAGGGATGAGAAAGGAACGTTTGGAGTGCCAGCCATCATTCTTTGAATGAAAAGAATCATGTCTACACTACTACTACTACTACTACTAATAACAATAATAATAATGATGATGATGATGATGATGAGCGATATCTCCATTGTGCTTTTAAGTTTACAAAGCACTCTACAGAGGTCACCATCTCATTTGAGCTTCCCAACAGCTTTGTGACACTTGTGGCTATCATTCCCATTTTACAGATGTGGGAACAGGCTCAGCATCCAGATGGCCAAAGGCGATTGATTAGGTGTTGTATTCATAGGGTAGGAGGAATTTGTTGCTAAGTTCGATTGATCCTAAAGCTCCAGATGTTCATATCCAGAGGCTTCCATCCCTCGGATAGTACAGTTGTCTTTTGCATACTTACAATTATTAGAAAGTGATCAGCTCTGCATCAGCCTCTCAGCAGACCAAGTCATTCACGCCCATTCACATGCTCTGATCAGGCCATGAAGCTCCTGGAGCTGTGGTCCACAGGCACTCAGGGGTGCAGGGAGGAGGGAGGAATGCCCCATCTGGCTCCTTGGATGGGCTGCTCTAGCGGGGAAGGAGGAGCCCCCCTGTGCTCCGCCCCCAAGGTTAAACACTAGGTCCTTAAGCTTCTGGGAGCTCTTTATATGAATAAAAGCAGAACTCACCTTCAGAGTCTCTCTTCCGCCTCCTTGGGAGAAACACACAATGGGGATCTTTCCACCATAATTGGAATCTGTGAGAGAGATGAGAGACTGTCATTTTCCAGCTTTGAATGTCCTTTCCAATCCTCTGCCTCAGAAGCAATGCACTTTTGCAATTTGTTTAGTCTGAGTAAAAGAGAAGCATATGAAGTAGCTAGCTAGGTGATGCTGCAGTGGATAGAGCACTGGGCTTGGAGTCAGGAAGTCCTGAGTTCAAATTTAGACTCAAACATTTACTAGCTGTGAGACCCTAGGCAAGTCACTTAACCCTGTTGGCCTCAGTTTCCTCATTTGTAAAATGAGCTGGAGAAGGAAATGGCAAGTCACTCCAGCATCTTTGCCAAGAAAATCCCAAATGGGTTCGCAAAGAGTTGGACATGACTGAAAAATGACTGAACAACGAAAGATAAGCATGAAGCCTATTTGGGTTGGGGGTTTGTGGTAGCTAGGTGTGTTACAATTAATCAACTGAAGTAAAAAGAAATGGAGGTGCAAAGTTACAGAGCAAATAATGGTTTAATAGTAAGCCTAGCAAGTTACCATTAAGTCAGGGAATCTAATTCCTCAGTAATTGGTGACAAAGGAGCGATTTACAGAGCTTATTTTTATAACTGAATGGAGGAATAGCAAACAAATGAACCAGGAAACTGGTTTTGAACATAATTCAACTGGACAAGACAGGTCATCTGACTAGTTCACTTCTCCCAGGCTTTCTTCACCCAAATTTGTCAAAGTCAGATTGCTCAGAAGTCCTTGCCCTGTGACTGATGCCTTTTGTAAGCAGAAAGCCTCCTGGGAAGGAGGAACTTATGGTTTGGAGTTAGCAGTCAGTCCCATCTTCCACCTGCCAACCTGAGAAGTTTCCATTACTCAACGGAGACTTAGCCTCTAGCTCAAGGAAAAAACCAGAATCTTTGCCACTAAGATGGGAGACAGAAACTGAACCTTTCACCAACCCTCCTTTCTCCAGCTGCCAGGAAGGGGGAACTCAGCCTTTAAAAAGAGGCTTATAATCCTACAATTATTTTATTCCCACAGAGATCTAGGTTTTACTCTAAATTATTTGCCACTAAATGATAGTCTTTTTTTTTAAATAGGGCAGTTTAATTTGAGAAGTCTTTCCCCTATTGTATCCTATATTATCAACCTATTTATTTTTACAGGGTTGTGAGGAATGTGCTTTGCAACTCTTTTTTGTTGTTTGGTTGTTTCAGTCGTGTCTGATGCTTTGTGCTCCAATTTGGGGTTTTCTTGGTCAAGATATTGGAGTGGTTTGCCATTTGCTTCTCCAGCTTATTAGATATATGAAGAAACTGAGGCAACAGGGTTAAGTGACTTGCCCAGGGTCACACAGCTAGTAAGTGTCTGAGGTCAGATTTGAATACATGAAGAATCTTCCTTACTCCTGGCCAGGTACCCTATGTACTATGGCACCACCTAGCTGCCCTGAAATAATAATCTTATCAATCTATCTATTTACTGACTCCATAGGCAACTTAGACTTAGGAGAATACCTATGTTAGTCTGGTTTATTTGTTAGGGCTAGCTTTCCCTAAAGAAGGGAGCTTGATCCTGTAATCAAATTAAAAATAAATCAAAGTAATCAATACCAACTGATTTCCTTTTCAGATGGTGCAGTGGATAGAGGCCAGGCCTAAAATCAGAAAGAGTCATCTATATGAGTTCAAATCTGACCTCAGACACTTATAGCTGTGTGACCCTGAGCAAGTCATTTAACTCCTGTTTGCCTCGGTCTTCTCATCTGTAAAATAGTTGGAGAAGGAAATGGTAAACCATTCTAGTATCTTTGCCAAGAAAACCCCCAATGGGGTCATGAAGAGCCAGATGTCACTGAAAATGACTCAACCAGAAGTCTGTGATTTCTTTAGCAGAGAAAGCTCCGAGTATAGAAATTCCCTCCAACAAAGCAGAACAGCCACTTATCTGCAGCCTGCTCACATAGATAATGTTAAGTGATATATTTATATACATGAAAGGCAGTGTGGTATAGTGGATAGAGAGCTGGCCTTGGATCTAGAAAGATCTGGGTTCAAGTCCTGCCTCTGACATCTACTGGTTGTGTGACCCTGGACAAGTCACACAACCTTTCAATACTATAATTTCTCTAAGTTTCAGAGAAAGTGCTGATCTGTATGGCTAGAAGGAGGTTCCTTATCTGGTGTTCTCTAAATCAATGGGGTCACCAGGTTTGGTAACCAAAAAATATTGGTTGGAAAGATGGACATAGTTTTACATATAACAACTATAAACATATATCTGCATATACTTATATATGTATATGTATAGACACACAGAGGAATCACATACATAAGTATTTGTGTATGTGTATACATACATACATGCTTATAAATATATATGTATATGCAGTATATATAGAGTGTAACCATATCTATCCATCTCTCCGGTTACACTCTAGTGGAGTTTAAATTTTGCATTACAAGTGGGTGTTCGGGTTTTTGTCGATTCTGTCTTGGCAGACCATGCTCTATAGCTTTCATTTTCCACCACAGAGTTTTGAAAGTGATTTGTATCATCAGGGGACGTTGCAAGCTGCCAACATTTTCAGATGTATCTATTTGTCATTGATGCAGCAGACACCAGGTCCCTGCTGACCTTACCCCTGTAGAAATGCACTAGAATCTCTTTTGGTCTTACCATTGAAGGAATGCAAATGAAGGAGCAGCTAGGTGGCACAGTGGTTAGAGCACTGGTTCTGGAGTCAGGAGGACCTGAGTTCAAATTTGGCCTCAGATAATTACTAGCTGTGTGACCCTGGGCAAGTCACTTAACCCTAATTGCCTCCCCCCCCCCAAAAAAAGAAATTCACGCAAGGGTTGCTAGTCAGAATCTGTTCCAGTCTGGAGAAGGAGTAAGTCAGCCAGTCCATAAGCATATATTAAAACCTCTTACTATGTGCCAGGCACTCTGCTAAGCTCTGGGGATACAAAGAAAGGTTAACAAACAAACAAACAAACAATCCCTGCTCTCAAGGAGTTCTAAGTTTCACTGGGGTAACAGCATGGGAGCAAACACATGCAAATGAGAGGTAAACAGCACAAATGAAAGGCGATCTTGGGGGGATCATTAAGGGAAACCAGGAAGTGAATGGTGGCTTCTTGTTTCGTTTTGTGGAAGCAAGATCGTATAGTTTGTGGCTATGGCAGACTGGGTTGGGAGCTTAATCCTACTGGCCAGACTCACAGGCACCATAATTCCTATCCCCTAAATAGAACCAGGGGCAAAAGCAGTGCTCAGGTGCCCCCTCCCACCCAAGGCCTCTTAGGAAGCCTCCACTCCTCTTCCAATGACTTTGAATAATTTTGCAGAGTCTTTGTGTTTATTTATGGGCATCCATGTTTATGTCCTCCAACAGAATGGAAGCTCCTTGAGGGCAGAGTCTATTTATCCCTTCTTCTGTCTTTGTGTCCCTAGCATTAAACATAGGGATTGAGATAATACATGAAAAGTGATTTGCAAATCTTAAATTACTATAGAAATTTCAGCTTTTATTGTTGTTATTATTTTTGGAGGTAGCTGGTGGTATAGAGCACTGGACCTGGAACAAGAAAGATCTGGGTTCAAATTCAGCCTCAGATACTCATTACTTGTATTCGCCTCAGTTTTCTTAGCTGTAAAATGGGGATCATAACAGCACATGCCTCCCAAGGTTGTTGTGAGGATCAAATGAGATATTTATAAAGTGCTTAGCACAGCACCTGGCACATAGTTGGAGCTTTATAAATACTTATTCCCTTTCTTCTCTCTTATCATCACCTTCATCATCACCATTATCAACATCACCTTCATCACCATCATCATCATCATCTTCATCATCACCATTATCAACATCATTATCATCATCATCATCACCACCCACCACCACCACCATCCACCACTACCACCATCACCATCATTTTTTTTGAAAATCCAGGTGTGATTTCATGAGAATAAGGAATTCCCAGTGAGGAAACTCCCTGTCCTGGTGCAGTTCAGTAACTGTATGGGCCACTCTGAGTCTTAGGGAGTTTCCTGGGGCCCTTCCAGGTTGCCCAGGATCACACAACTAAGAAGTGCTAGAGAAGTCTTCCTGCAAGGGAAAGGAAGTCTCTTTCCATTGCACAATGCTGCCTCTTACACATAGTCAGTTTTTAATGAATCAATATTTGTTCAATTGAATTCATTTGAATTGAACTGAACAAAGGAACGTGGTATATTATCCTGCTTGGAATACTAACCTTGGATTGCACGTTCTGAAATGTATTTCTCCAATTGATTCCGAAGCTTTGCTTCAACTGATGGGTATCCATGGCAGCCATTATCGACCAGTAAGAGATGGGTGTGGTTATTGTCCAGGATATACAATGGGTCTCTCTTGAAGTCATCCATGATATACTGGGCTGAGAAATGTCCCTATGGGTCACAGTGAAAGTTTTCATTGAGATTTGAAGTGGCTTCTCTGGAAGATGACATTGAGTGGCCTCATATCAGAGGATCCTCCTCTAGGTTCTGAATAAAAGCCCTCCTAGGTAAGAATGGCTCTGGGTCATGCAGAAAGTAGGATTTGGAGAGCATTTGAAACTGCAGAAATTATGAAGAGCCAGGATTTCAACGAATATTGAAAGGATAGATAATATATGGGAAATGTATAATAATCATAAGCAACATTTACCTAACAAAATTCAAAGAAGAAAAGCTATACCACCTTCACTTTTGGCACTGTATCCATAGTGCTTAGTAGATTACCTTGCTCTTGGTAAGTGCTTAATGATTATTGGATTGAATTATAAAGTAACTATTTGTTTATTTTGTCCGTATCTGTGATTTGACAACTCAGATCCATGACTGTTTTGCAACTTATTGGCTTAGAGAATCACTGGGGGCAAGGAGATTTTAAGTGATTTAAGTGATCATACAGCTAGTATCTGTTAGAGGAGGGATCTGAGCACATCATCCTGACTACAAAGCTGGCCCTCTATTCACTTTACCTTCCTTTCTTTGACCCTATCATCAAAGAGACGAGAACAGGGGCAGACAGTATGTCCAGATGGGATCAAAGATACTGGGCCCAGTAGGAATCAGTGCATAATCTTGAGGTAGAGTGATGTACTGAGGACAAATAGATGAGGAAAGATAGTTACCCAAGGAGGGAAGCAGCCTCAAATAGTGTCTATGTATCAGCAAAGAATGTCAGATATCAATTCAAGAAAGGACTTCCAACCTATTAAGTACGAGGAGATGTGAGTTACTCCTTCACCACACATACATTCTACACTGTATTTTTGGGAGAATGTGCCTCATGCTTTTGGGAAGAATATTTTGTACTAATTATTATTATTAGGCCATTTGAATAAATGCCTTTCTAAAAGCTAATGAAATCACTGAGCTGATTGTTAATGGGAAGCACACCCATGGGGGCTCCTAAGCTACAGTACTTGAAATATAACCTCTCAGAATCACCCCTAGAGCCCAAAGCTTAGCAGCAATAAGCAGCCCTCTGGGGCCCAAACTGTGAGGGTGAGTGTGTATGTGTGTGTGTGTGCGTGTGTAAATGTGTATAATCCAAAAGGTATGCCACCTTTATTTACATGTGTACATGTTGCTTAAGTTCCTTGTTTGCTTAGTAATGCTTGTTGATTGATTGATTGATTGATGATATTACTGTAAAGTTCCTTTGCAGTGTTCCTGCATGACCTCTCAGCTTTCCTCCCCAGCCAACTCACAATGGCATTCATACCTCAGCATCACTGTGTCTGATCAGGGTGTCCCGATTGGAGACCATTCCCCAGGCTGCTATGCCAATGGCTACAATGTTCTCCTCTGAATTCCTGCTGATGGTGTTGTCTCTCACCACCTCACCAATATACTTCATCAGGCCATAGTGAGTGCCTCCAGTGAGAATCCATGCCCCTGTGGACAGGTGTCAAAATTACAATTCAATTGAAACACCAGGGAACAATGATGCACAATGAAATTCGCACACTAGGTTCAACGTGGAGAAATCCTCCCCTTAGAATGATACACAGATGTGAGGGATGGAATGTCCTCTGGGTGGCCAATTCCACAGGATAAGACAGAAAATCATGGAATTTTAGAGATGGCAAAGCTATTTGATTGATTGATTTGGTTTATTTCATGTAGCCCAAACCTCCTGATTTTGAAGATGAGGATCTGAGATGTGGAGTGACTAAGAGCTCGATGTGGGGGGAGGAGAAGGGTCTATACATGGAGGGAGCTCAGCCACAACAATTCTATGTGGAATGGCAACATTTGCTCAGCTTCATATCTGGAATCATCTCATCCCAGGATTGGGAGGGGTGTGGTTCAACCTGTTTCAGAATAAGTGCATTCCTCAAAATGCCCAACAGGGGGCTATGCAGCCACTCCTTTAAGACCTCTTATGAGAAGGCCCAGTAGATCATTCCCACTCTTGGATGCTTCTCCTAGCAAGTCTCCCTTAAAATCAAGCCAAATGGACCTCTTTGTATTTCCCCCTCATTGCTCTAAGCATAGCCAGTTGAATACCTTTCCCAAGCAATAGACTCCTTTAGATCTTGAAGACAGCTGTCATATCCACCTTGAGTCTTTTCTTCAAACTAAAAATCCCCAGGTCCTTTAGTGTTTGGAGAAAAAAAATCATAGCTCACATCCAAGTTGGGTGACAGGTCAGGAGAAGTTTTATTGTTACACCAATAAAGGCGTTTTCTTTGTTGTCTGGGTGAGTTCTGATTACGAGCAATTCCCAATCACTATGCATGGTATAAAATGAAGAAGTAAATAGGTTGGGCAGTTCTGCTATGTTACAAATTATTACAAAGTACAAGGTAACAGGGTTCCATGACATTGTTATGGAGAGATAGGGATGGAGTGAGTGGTTCTCTGATATGATTCCTGATATGATTTTACAACTGCTCCTTTCAGTGATTACAGGGACACTTGAGATGATTGGGGTATATTATGAAAAATCTTGCACATGGATTAGGCTGAAAGTAAACCTGAATGCAAGAGTCTGGAGGTGTCTGCTCATTTTACATTGCCATGATGGCCAAGGTGCAAAATGGAGTCACTCATGTCAAGTGAGAGGGGAGAGGAGGGGCCCCTCTTGTTGCCTCCACAAACCTCTCCTGGTGTGGCAGAAGCCCTTCGTTGATCTTACTGCTTTCCTGTGGATTTTCCTGTTTGTCACTTTCCCCAGAACTGAGAATAATAGCCCAGACGTGGCCTGACCAGGAGAGCCTCTTCCTGTTGGATGACCACCTTCTGCATCCTAGGCATCAGGCCAGCCTAAAGATTGCATTAGCTTTCTGGGCCACCATAGAACACTGTGGACTCACAGGAAGCTTTCAGTCTATTTAGAGCTCTAGACTTTTCTCAAAAGAGCAGTTGTTTAGGCACACCTCCTATGGTGCAGCAGAAAGAGCATTGGATTGGTTGTGAGAATCCTGGCTCTGCTCTTCATGATCTGAAGGGCTGATGCAGCTCACTTAGCTTTTCTGGGCCTCCCTTGGTTCATCTTAAAATAAATACACTGTAGTAGATGACCAGTAGGTTCTCTGCTAACTCTATATTATGATGATTCAAGAATCATATGATCTGAAACATATGAAACTGATTCCGTGGACCAAGAGCAAGACTTGGTATTTGTCCCTTTTTGGTTTTATCTCATTAGATTTGGCCTAATGCTCCAGCCTGTTGAGACAGGTTTGAGTGCTCATCCTACCATCCAGTGAGTTAGGCATGCTTCCTGACTCTGTGTTGTTTGGGAGGCTGATAAAGCGAGCCATCTATGACTTTACCTAAGTCACTAACAGAAACCTGAATCAGCACAGGGCACCCTCAGATCACTGGCTGCTTCCCTGAAGATGCCTTCCTGTCTTGTCACAGGGCCATGAATGAGCGTGCATTGGGCCCAACCATCTGACCAGTTCCAAATCCACCTAACTGCATTGCTGTCTGGTTGTGATCTCTCCATATTCCCTATGAGAATACCAGGAGAAACTCTGTTGAATGCTTTGCTGCCTTCCAGGTAAACGACAGCTAGCAGACTAATAATCTTGTAAAGAAAGGCATTGACATTACTCTGGCTGGAGCTGTTTCTGACAATGTCATTTGGGCTCCTTGGGTCTACTGCTTCCTTTTCTAGATATCCACTAACCCTAGAATTTTGCTAGGAATTGAGACCCGGAGTTTATAAGCTCTGTGGTCTTCCATTTTGTGTCCATTTTGACCTTCTAGCTCCTCTCTTTCCTTTTTGATCTTTTCAGGACCACAGGTGGTGAATGGCTCAGCAATCACATGTCAAGGCTTTTGGTGCCCAACGAGAGAAGTCATTTGAACCTGGCGGCTTGAACTCATCAAAGGCGCTTCTGAAGCTGTCCTCTTATGCTCCTCTTATATGTTGAGGACATTCACTCCTTACTGGAATATCCACTCTATCTTTTCTTTTCAGGCACTCATGGAGACCACACAAGACATGGAAAACACTCTGACTCTGAAATTTGAGTTGCTGCCTTCTGTTAGTCAATCCTCCCTCTGGGGCTTATCCTAAGCCTGTGCCTCTGGTCCAATCCCTTTACCTCTGTTTCCTTCCCCTGAAAAATGAGGGGGTTGGACAAGATGGCCTCAGAGGTCCCTGACAGCTGTCACATTATGGTCCTATGGGAATCATAATAACCTAGCAGCACCAGAATCTAGAGGAAAAAATACCCAGAAGCAAAAGAGCTCAGGAAACAGAGAGTGAGTTTTTGTAACCATCTCACTGAAGGTGATGCACAGATTTTGAAAGCAAACCACAACTAACAAATTTACAGTTTTATGCACAATCTTCCCCTTGCCCCTATTACTTGTGTATGGGGTGCAATATGACTTAGAGGGGCTGCAAAATGTAGTGGAGAATTCAGTGCCCTCAGAGCCAGGATGACGGGCGGTCAAGTCTTGCCTCTCACACATCATGGCTGGGTGATGCCAGGCTAATCACTTGACCTTTCAGGGTTCTAGGCAGATCTCTAAGACTGTAAGTTGTAGAGAAGGTGCCAATCCACATTCATAAAGGGATTTTCCTCACTTGGGAGTTCCTCAAACCAATGAAAGGTCAGATCCAGTCCCTAGCTCCAATTTGTAAACTTAAATATGTGTGCTTATAACTGGTAAGTTTAGGACAAGAGTTCTTAACTTTATCTGTATCTTGGACCCCTTTGAAAATCTGCTAACACCTACAGACACCTTCTCAGAATCATGTTTTTAAATGCATAAAATAAAATACATATGATTACAAAGGAAACCTATTATTTTAAAATACAGTTACTAAAATACTTTAAAAGAAAGTCATAGAACTCAGGTCAAGAACCTCTGGTTTAGAACTTAAAAATAGAATGTATTGGGGGATTACTAAAAAACCAAAATCTTTGGCAATCAATGGGATGTTTCCTCACCTTTGGACTGAGCTATGTAGATCAGGCGACTGAAGATCTTGCGCATTCGAGGTTTGAGGGCAAAGTTTTTGGCTCCACCAGTCACAGATATGACGAGGTTGGGGGTTTTCAGATGCCAGTGCTGGGTCATCAACTCATAGAGGATTTCTGGGTCTGTGTCGCATGACAAACGGATGTACTTTATGGAGAGGGGAAGAAGCAACAGCAGTAACATTAATTAGCATTCTGATTCATTTGGTCTTGGACTAGATGATCTTTCAACCCTAAATCTTTGATTCTATGTGCTTATCATGCACCAGTCATTGCAGTGAGTTTTAAAATCTTAGAAATACAGAGCTGGAAGGAACATACACAAATAACCAGTTCACTGCCTTCATGTGACAGATGAAGATAGAGAGACCCAGAAAAGCTATGTGGCCCCCTTGACCTCTTCCAGTTAGTTAGTAGCAGAGCCAAAGCTTTTGGTTATTCTAATTAAAATTGGTAGTTTCCTCTATAATAATTTTGGGTGTTCTCCTGTCACCTCACAATTCTCCTTCCTCCTTCTTATGCTTGTTTCTCTATTCCCATTTTCTTTTTCTGCCTTCTCCCTTCCCTCCATCCCATCTCAACACCACACCCCCTATAAAACAATTCAAAGAATTCTTGGCTGCAACCACTTATGGACTGGCTAGTTATGTCACATACACACTTACCTTTCCTTTCTTCCCTAATGTTTCAAACTGAATGTCCCCGAAAGCATCAGTAGGAAATTCTTTGGTATGTTTTTTATAATTCCATTTCTCAATTTGATTGATCTGAGTGCCTTCTATGTGCTGGTTTTGGGCATAGCCACACTTACACATGTTGTCCCTGAGTAGAAGGATATGTTGTGGGAGGAAGGAAGAAGAAAGGATTAGCCATCCACACAGACTTTGTGGGAGACACATACAAATGTTATTGCATTTCCTTTAATTAACAGCAGATTCTTGCCCTGAAGACTTTCCACTCCTCTGATGCCTCAGGGTTGCATGGAGCTGGTGGCCTTGGGACCTCAAAGGCAGTACAAGTGGAGTATGCCTTCTGACAGGTGAAGGATGGAAAGGTTTTGAGGATGGGCACCCTGGTGAGCTGAATATCTGTGCTCTGCAAACCACTTCAGCTCTGCTCAGGGGGCTCCTGAAATTCAGATGGGCCACAGGTCCCACTTCTTCAGCTCCTCCTGAAACTAAGCTATCGAGTGACATTTCTTCCTTCCCAGTCATCTTCTCACAACCAAATCACCCCCTCCCTACCTTGCTGTTGGACCACTGACCACTCCCTGGATGTCTTAACCCTTTCAGCTCTTGAATCCTCCATGGGCTCCCCCCCCCCCCCCCAATTGATGAACCCCTCATGTTTTCAAGAAAGCCTCAGTCATGCTTCACTCTACTCCCTACAATAATCAAATCAATCCTGCAATTGCACCTGGAAGGGGTGTGTCAATCTGTCTCCCAACGGCTCAACTCCCAGTCCCTATAGCTTTCTAAACCAAACTGCTCCTTCCTGGTCACCACATCCCTGAATGTGCCATTGTCCCCACTGGAATGTAAGGTAGCTCCTAGAGAGCAACTCTTGTCCACGGTACTTGGAAAATGTTGAGGGCTTAATCAATGCTTTTCCCTCATTCTCTCATAGAATGAATGCATCAGGGCAGTGGGTACCCCCATAAGTATCAATGAGATCAGGGTTCCTTGAAATATTGTATGAATACACGGTTACCATCTCAAGCAAAGAAAAATTATACATATCATCAAAAACCTTTTTTTATGCTATTTAAATCATTATAAAGTGGCGGGATTTAACAATATTAAGCAAACATTTCTTTACTGACATTGTTCTATGAATTTTAAGTGAGGCGCTGAGGGAGATCCAAGGGTAAGGAAGGTCTAGTCACTAAATTCCAGACTCTCAAGTTGCAAGGGAATCTCAGAAACCACTTAGACCAGCCCAAGAATGTCCTCCCTCAGCAATGGGTCAGGGACTGTTTGCTTCCTTCTTTGGGGGGGAGCCCACCACCTGCTCAGGAGACCCATTCCTGTCTGCCTATGAACTTCATGTCCCAATCCCTGAATGTTCTGCCCCATCTCGCAACCATCCCACACCTCCCCTAGACTTTGCTATTTAACTTCTTGATAAGCTGGAATTATCAACTGGCTCTCCAATTCTTTACCACCCACCTCTTTCCTCAACCTGTTTCGAAGTGACCTCTGCTCCCAACATGACCTCCAAAATAGCCAGTGTCCCAATTCTTGTCCTCATCTTCCTCAATATTTTTGTGACACTCTCCTGCTGCAGGCTCTATTCCTAGGACTTCAGAGTACCATATTCTGCCCAGTTTCCTCTCACCACTCTTAGGACTCCTTCAATTCAACAATGATGAAATGCAATAAGGATCAATACCACGAGTTCAAAGATCTCCCCCTATCCCTACTTCCTAAGTTCAGGATGGGAGGGGCATGATTAGATAGCCAACCATCTGAGAAAATAAAATCTGGGGTGTTTGAATGGACTTCCATCTTATTCTGAGTCAGCAGGTGATGTGGCAGCCCCCAAAGCTAAGATGACCTTTAGCAGCACAGCACTGGGATGGAGGGGGCCCGTGGTCCTCCTGGCCTTTGCCCTGGTTCAGTAACAGCTGCAGGATTGTGCACTTACTAGACAGGCTATAGGATGCCTTGGGATCATGGATTTAGAGCTGGAAGGGACTTTAGAGGCCGCCAACTCCAACCTTTCTCATTTAATTTAAATTTTACTTAATTTTTTTCACTTAACAAAAAAATCTATTTCTCTCCCTCCCACCTCTGCTTTCCCCATCAGGTTAAAAAAAAAAAGAGCAACAAAGCTCTTGTAACAAACCCCTAAGTTGGCCATATTGTATGTCTCCTTCCACCCCCTGAGTTCACCACCTCTCTGTTTCAGGAGGTGGGTGGATAATTCATTATGGGTCCTCTGGAATCATGAAATCTCCCAGATTTTTACAGGTGCAGAAATTGAGGTTATGTGACTTGGCCAGGTTACACAGCTAACAAGCATCTAAGGTGGAATTTGAATCCAGACCTTCCTGCCTCCAAGGCTAGCCCTCTTTCCACCAGACCTCTGCCTCCTTTCCGAAGTCTTGTCCTCCATCCTCTTCTCTTTTTCCATGATCTGCCTTAGCAGTCTCAAGCCGGGCAAAACTCGTATTAACTGGTGTAGTTTGAAGTCGGTATAAGAGGGAGAACAACATAGCCAGCTCCTGCAATGACGTCCATGAAAAACGAGAAGGGAATGGATCCTTGGTCTCCGAGAACAGATGGCGGCGGACTCTTCTTGGTAGAGGGGTGGGGGTGGGACGCCACCGGGACAGAACGGCACATACGTTATAGGAAGCGTCCTTTCGATCAGTTTGGCTTGACTGTCTTTGTTTCTTGCAAAGGGAGGCTCCTTAGGGGAGAGGGCCATCGGAACGACTGGCGCGCAAACCAAAGTCATACAAAGAAGAAGACACCGCGCACGTCTTCCTGTCGACTTGAACAGGCTTTTTGTGATCCCTCAGGAGGCACAGGGATTCTTGCCTCGTGTGACCGCAGGGACATCATCGGGTGCTTGGCAATCTGAACAAAGCTCCCTTTGGGTTTGCCAACGGCTCAGTCCCCAGGATTCCTGGGAGGCCGCTCGATTCTCGAGCCCTTCTTCCATCACTTCTTTCCCCCCTTCCTTTGGAGCTGGGGTGGGGCTAGGGACGGTCGGCTGCACCTTCTCCCCGTCTTCAGACGTACTTGTTCCTAACAGCTGAACTTCTCTCCTCAGCCCTCCAGTCCCTTTCCGATTTCCTGGCAGAATTCTGGGTGAGGCCCGAGGAGCTTTTCTGACCCACTGAAGTGCGTCTGCTTTGGCGAGCTCTCTGTGCCGCTTAGAAGGCTCCAGGGCTTTCTCCTGGGATCTGGGCTGTTTGCTTAGGCTTTTAGCGCGTGAATGATTCTAAAATCATTCTAGAATCACAGGGTTTCGGGGCTGGACGAGACCTCAGTCGTCCATTGGTCCGATTCTCATCCTCTTTGTGCAACTTCTGATTCAATCCGAAGCAAAAGCTTCTTATGGAAGGCACTAGGCTAGGGACTGGGCACACAAAAGCAAAAGGAAAAACTGGACTTGCCCTCCACGGGCTTCCATTCTATTGAACAAGTGGTTAAGCAATCTTTGCTTGGCAAACTCCCAAGAATCAGAGCCTGTTTCTCTTTGGGGCAATTCTAATGGTTGGGCATCTTTTCCTTGCACTAACCCTAAATTTGCCTGTTGTATCTTCTCTGAGTGCCCCCTGCGGCCAAGCTGAAGATAGCTAATCCCTCCCCAGCGGAAGGGCCTTCAGAACGGACTGGGATGGAATCTTGACTTCCTTGGTAGAGCAGACTATTGTTTAATAACACAAGTCAGCACCTGCTTTGCTTGGGATGCGTTGGCTTAGAGAGCCAGCTGCCTGGGGCCCTGGGGGTTTAAGGGATTTGCCCAGGGATGCACAGCCAGAATGTCAGAAGCAGGATTTGAATCTTGAGGCCTGTTCTCTGTCCTTCAAACCACACTGACTTCAGTTCCCTATGAAAGTGAGCCATCTATGGTAGTCACCTTATGAAAGGATAATGGCCTCATGAATTCTGTTGGTTGTGTCTGACAGTTCTGACAGCAGCAAGAGCTCTTTACTCAGAAGATGCTCATTAGGGCTTCTCCACAAACCGCCCAAGTCGAGGTTAAACGTTGGTCAAGTTTCTCCGTCTCTCTTGAAGCCATGCGGTTTTTCCATATTACTCTACCACATTGGAGGAAGGGGCTCCTTTGGAAGTCCCTGAAGGGCAATGAGAATTTCAAAGGGCAGATAGACTCTGTAAAGAGACACTGACTGCACCACTCTCAGAAATCTTTTCAGGTGGTATGAGGTGGGTGAGGAGCTACAAACCAAAATGATGCCAGGCACTGAAGCTCATTCTAGCAAAAACGTTGCAGCTGAGAATCCTGGTGTGAGTGCTGAGAAATCTTGGCTTCCTAGTATATGCCCTCAAAAGCAGCCCTGATACCAGAGATCACAGATCAGTGGGCTTGCTGGAAAGACAAATCTCAGGACACTTGGTATTTTCTGTTGCTACAAAAATTAGAATTACGGAATTGCTAAACTGTAGAATTTCAGAGTTGGAAGGGACGTTGGTGGCCAACCAGTTTAGCCCTGAGCCCCTAAAGAATCCTCACTGTAAGACAGTCAATAAATGCCATTCCATCCTTGCTGAAAGCTCTCCAGGGAGGGTGAACCCAAGGCTAACCCTCTTCTACCTTTCAGGTGCTTGAGGACAGCCCTGAGCATCTCTGCCACCCCCCACCCCCAGTCTTCCAGGGGCTGAACATGGCCAGTTCCTTCAACTGATCCTTGTATGACATGGACTTCATCCATGCTGGTTAATGTTCTCCAGATTATCAAGGTCTGTCCAAGTGAACTGTAATGCCCCCAACTATACATAATCCCATAGCTGTTATTGAACTAGGGAAGAGGCCAGGAGGACCATGGGCCCCCTCCACCCCAGTGCTGTGCTGCTAAAGGTCATCTTAGCTTTGGGGGCTGCCACACGACCCTGCTGCTTCAGAATGAGGTTGAAGTCCATCCAAACACTCCAGATTTTATTTTCTCAGATGATTGGCTATCTAACCATGCCCCTCCCACCTTGCATTTAGGAAGTAGGGGTAGGAGGAGATCTTTGAACCCATGATATTAATCCTTATTGCATTTCATCATTCCTCCCAAACCTGTCCCTCCTCCCCTCTCATTTCTTTTGAGGCACCACCCTCCTTCATAGACAACTCAGCATCTTCCTATACTCTTCTTTTTCCTTGACCCCTCATTCCTATCCAACCCTTTCCTTTGCATTATCCCTTTCCCATACCCAACGAGTAGCCATCTACTCTAATTCAGGGTCTTTCCTGAACCATTTCAGTAGCCCCCTCACAAGTCTCCCTGCCTCCAACCTCTCCTCTCCCTTATCCATCCTCCTCAAAGTTGCCAAAATCATTTTCCTAAAGCCCTTTTGACCATGGTCCTCTCCAGCAGAAGAATCTCCATTCAAGCTCTATTGTCTTTAGGATAGAATACCCACTTTTCAGCATGGCACTGATAGTGCTGTCATTAGCACAATGCAGACAAGACCGGAACACTCTCCTCTGAATATCTTGTGGACCTCCTAATCATTGTAGTGTCTATTTAAATCTGTTCCTGAGTAAGGAAGATTAGCTGATACTCAAAGGGGAGGTGATGTGATGGAACAAATTATCTGGTTGGAGCCTATCCCACAGAGCCCCAGTGGTTCTGGAGTGCTGAGGTGTGACTTTTGGCCATTATAATGGATAGGGCCACAGTTTTGGAGCTGGAAAACCTGAGTTCATATACTGGCTCTGTTAGTTACATAGACTTGTGTCTTGTGGGCCAGTTACCGGGTCCTCTGGCCTCCTCATTTTTCAAATGGTGCCTCTCACATAGCAGAGATGTAAGTGCTCATGGGATTGAATTGGACCAGATGACCTCACTGGTGGCTTCTAGTACAAACCCTACTCTTTGCACACAGTAGGTGATTAACAAATGGTGCTTGAATGTATGGATCTTTCATGGGATTTCTTCTTCGTACACCTCTGTGAATTACCAGGTAGATAGTTAGGTTTCTACTAAAACCTAGCATGAAGCCAATGCCGTCCATGCACCAGACTCTTGATGTGCTTGTTGAATAGAATTTAACAGAACTTTTTCGTAATCAGGGACCAAACTCACGAGAGAAGAAAAGTGGCTTACGTGGCCTTGGGATCTTTTGTGAAGAAGACACACTCCCTTTTCTTAAAATTTTCCTGAATAAAATTCAGCAAATCCTTAGGACAAAAAGACAGAACAAAACATTACAAAGTGATCTTGAAACTCAGGTTGCATTAAAAGCAATAATCATCTCTGTTTTTCTCTTTTGGGTGAAAAGAGCCACAGCCCTAAAGATCAGGGGAAGAATCTCGGTAACAGATGCTAAGTCTTTAGAGCTTTCTAGAGCATGAAAGGTAATATACAAATCCCAATGGTAATTTTCCAAGTTGTAATTCTTCCAAGAGGTTTGGGTAGTTGGATGTAGTAGAGAGAGCCAGCCTTGGAGGCAGGGGTTCCTGGATTATGAGTCCTGCTCCTGACACTTTTGGTGCTGTGTGATCTTGGGAAAATCACTTGGCCCCTCAGTGCCTAAGGCAACCCTCAGAGACCTCTAGTTACCTACAGTTTGGTGATTGTTATTATTATGGAGTCCTCCATTTAGAGCTGGAAGGGACCTTAGATTACCTCGTTCAACACCTCAGTTTACAGATTAAGAAAGGTCGCGTTCTAGTCAGTGGTAGAGCTGGGTCTTGGACCACCAAATCCATCCTTCTTTTGACTTCATTGGGCTGTTTCCCAATCAGTACCTAGTCTGGCAAATTTCTTTAGTATGGAAGAAACAAACTTTGGAGAAAAAGCTAAATATCTAAAAATAGGCAGACATGTTGTCCACCCCATACAGAATGTTTGCAAGCTGTGCTGCCCTGTCTCTCTGGATCATTTTTTAAAATTCCACTGACAAATTTCAACCCAACTTGACCAAAAGGAAGAGAGCTCTGCACATTGAGCTGTTATGAGGGACTTTGTTCCAAGGTGCTAGAATTCAGCAAGCACTGAAAACTTGCCTCTCTTTAGTGGCATGGAAATAGCTGGGTTTGGCACCTGGATAGCGTGGATAAAAGTTACAATTGGAAGTTGGGAAGAGGCATTTCCTACTCCTTCCTCATGCCCTCCTCAGCGGAATCCTCCTGGTGCCCATGCTCTCATCTCTACATTTGAACATGATCTGTGGATTTTACATAAGGATACTTTCCCTGGGTGCATACACTGCTCGCCTCCATACATAACACTTCTCTATATTGGATGTTTCAATAACTGTGAGTAGGGGGAGGGGTTGGAGAAAAGACCTGGGCCTTTCCACACCTGCAAAGAACCTGTTGGTGTTCTTTTTGGCAACAGTGATACATAAGCATGAATAGAACATGTCACAATGAAAGAAATAGAAAAAGGCAGAAGCAGAGAATCTTCCTATAACTTATCTGGTAAGTCTTCCCTGTGACAAGTTAGGGAGTAACCCTATTCCTAGGAGGCATCTGTAGTGGTTCTGGATTGGGAGTAAGAGGACCCGGATTCAGATCCTGGCTCTGCTCCTTCCTAGCTGTGTGGCTATGGAAAAGTTGCTTATCTTTTCTGGGCCTCCTTTCTCTCATTTGTAAAACCAGCGGTGTTGCATTGTCTGGTCTCTAAGGTCACTTTCCAGCTTGAAAGGCATTAACCGCTCCCATAGCTTTAAGGTGTCCAAAACACTCTTCTTTCAGCAGCTTTGGGAAGTTTTATTTTTATAGGTAAGGAAAATGAGGCAGAGAGAGGCTAAGCAGTGAGCCCCCTGTCACGCAGCTAGCAAACGGAAGAGGGGAGACTCAAAGCCAACGGAAGTCCAGTCAGTGGAAAATCACTGGACTGAGGAAAAGGGCTGGCTTTGGATTCAGAAGCCTCAGTCACTGCTCCTCTGAACCTTGGTTCTCCATCTTTAAATCGGGAACAATGCTTGTATTCTCAGCCTCCCAGGAGGGTTTTAAGGAAAGTGTTTCATCAATTATAAAGCCCTCTCTGTATGTATTTCACAACAATTTAGCAGAAGAGTTGGTGTTGAGGATGTTAGCAAAGAGGTGCATGATGGGAAAAGGAGCCCAGCTGGTCATGGAGGGTGAGGGGGCAGCCTATGGGCTTCACTGATGTCTGATTAATGTGAAGATGACCCGAAGAGGCCCCCAGCAGGTGAGGGAGAACACCATTGGGGACCTCAGGGAAGGTCCTGGAGGAGGGCCTCTTAGCATGGGCAGGCATGGACGTGAGTGATCAGCCCCCCTCAGCGACATCCCCCCAGGCATATCCACATCAGCGATCTGTTATAGGGATGGGATCAGACCTGTGATTTCCCAGGCTTAGGAAATTCCCTTTGTCAGTGCAGATAAGCAGCTTTTCTCTAACTTGTGTGCCCACAGAGCTGCCAGAGACACTGAGACGTTAAATGACTGGCCAGGGTAACACAACAGGACCTGAACCCAAGACTTCCCGACTTCCTGCCAAGGCCAGCCCTCTCTATTTTCTGTGTTGCTGCTTAGATAGAGAACACAGTGTTGTTACAGCCTACATGCAGACTCCAAAATGGAAAGCAAAGCTTTGAGAGAAAATCATCCAACTCTGACAAAAACAACCAAAACACTTACTTTTTCTACGTAATATGATTTGTTTAGTAAAGAAAGGGAGTTTTTGAGGTCCCCAGAGGCAGCACAGTTCTCATTTTGTTCTTGGGGACCAGGGGCGGGGAACCTGCAGCCTTGAGGCCACATGTGGCCCTCTAGGTCCTCAAGGGCAACCCTTTGACAGAATCCAAACTTCACAGAAGAAAAGGCCGCCCCTGAGGACCTAGAGGGCCACATGTGGCCTCAGGGCCATAGGTTCCCCACCCCTGTGGGGACCAAAAGGAGGCTCTGACTGAGGGTGATGGGGAGAAGCTGCACAGAAGATGGCAGCAGCAGCTACTCACGCTCTCGCTGTAGGACAAGTCTGTGCTTCGAGATATGCTGGAGTAGAGTGTTCGCACGCTCTCCATGGTGCCGTTTCTTCGATTTCTCATGGAATTCCCTGTAGGCCAATGCATCTGACAGGAAATAGGTTTGGAGACATAGCTCAAGGATGTGCCAATTCCTCTAGATTATAGTAGAACTTTGATTGCTTTTGGTCAGCAACTTGTTTGGAACTTCTAGTCTCAGAGAGCAGCCTGGGACACAGAGGTAAGGGACTTATCCATGAACACCCTACCAATACTTGTCATGGGCATGACCCGAACCCAGGTCTTCCTGACCACAGGGTTTAGCCATGATCCCTTATTGGCTCTCAAGTTTGAAGAAGAGAGGACTTTATTCAGCAAACATGGATCGACTTGTCGGAATAGGCTTAGACTCTAGGGGTGCTACAAGGGCTTTGGGTCATCCTGCACAGAATTGATTTTAACCTTGAAAGTCATCCCCTTTACCACTGGAGGAGAGTGGGGTTCTCAAAGATTCTGGAGCCCAGAAGTCATCTTTGTCCTTGACTCATTCTCTCTGTCCTCACGGGATGGCAGGAAGCCACACTGTAGCCTGTTCCTCACTCCACCAAGCTAGATAATAGCTGGTCTCCACCTACACAGACACCTGGCCCTCAGTTTCTTTGGGGGCTGTGTGCCCCAGCATCATGAGGCTAAGCCTCTGAAGTAGGGACTGTCTTATTTAAACCTTGCACATCACCTTGTGCCTAAGCATAGGGTTCTGTACACAGTTGGTGCCATGTTTGCGCCCCTCCTCCATATCCAATCAGTTAAGTTCTGTCATTTCTACCTTTGCACCATCTCTTCTCTCCTCTGACGCTGTCCCCACCCGGTGCAGACCTTCATTATCTCATTCCCAAACTATGGCAATAGCTGCTGGGGAAGCAGGGGGGTCTGCCTGCCTGAAGTCTCTCCGCATTCCAGTCTGTCCTCCATTGGGCCACCAAAGTGATCTTCCTAAAGTGCAGGTACAATTACATCACCCCCTCTACTCAATAAACCCCAGTGGCTCCCTAGTGCCTCCAGGAGCAAATACAAACTGCTCTGTTTGGCCTTCAAAGCCCTTCCTAGCCTACTCCCTCCTCCCTTTCCAGTCTCCTTACACCTTACTCCCCTCCCCCCTACTCTTCAATATGCTGACTGTAGCCTCCTTACTATTCCAGGAACAAGACACTCCATCTTTTGATTCTGAGCATTTTCTCTGGTGCCTGGCACAAAATAAGCTCTTAACAAATGCTTGTTGATTTGACTTGCAAACCTGAATGAACTTGTTTGTTGAATAAATGTCTGATTTCAAAGCATTATCTGCTAGAAGAGGGATTAATCCTCTCTGTGACTCAATTTCCTCCTCTGTAAAATGAGAGTTGGATTAGATGACTCCCAAAATCTCTTCCAGTTCCAGATCCACAATCCTCCATGGCCCATTCCACAAACTCCCAGGGGATTTTGAGAGAGATTCCATGGGGGCAGAGTTGGCAATCTTAGCCCTGTAGGTTTGGGCTTGGCAGAGAGAGCATGAATTCTTGCCACTGCCTGAAGTTTTGAGGCCCTGGGAAATGGGTGGGCAGAGAGCTGAGAAGCTATTCCAGGAAACAGATGCCCTCCACTTGTAAAATGGGGGGGGTGGAGTAGATGCCTCAGAGGTCCCTTGTACCTCCATGATTCTAAGACCCAATGACCATCTTGTTCACACATTAGCTCAAAAATTCCGGGGTCAGAATTTCACCCAAGATGACTTTGTGACTCTAAAACCATGTCTTTTATCACTATTTTGTGGACCCTACTTCCCCTATAAGAATGGGCTAAACCTACAAACCTGCACATCCAAACAAAAAGGGGAAGAAGCTGCTAGTTATGGGGAGAGGGTTCAGGAGGAAGGCAAGTGCAGAAGTTGTCCTCATCACAGGGCCCAGATCGAAAGACGGGAGGTATCTCAGAGACCACGAAGTCTAATCTCATTTCACACAGAAGACTGTGCCTTACAGAGGCAAAGGGGCAGAGAGAAGAGCAATAATTATAGCCAACACCTACATAGCACCTACTATGTGCCAGGCACTGTGCTAAACTCTTTACAAGTATTATCCTCACAACAACCCTGGGAAGAAGGTGCTGTTATTATTGCATTTTATAGTTAAAGAAACTGAGGCAAACAGAGGTGAAATGACCTGTCAAGGGTCACCCAACTAGTTAGTGTCTGAGGCTGGATTTGAGCTCAGGTCTTTGTGATTCCAGGCCTAGAGCTCTATCCACTGGGACACTTGTGAGTTTCCCTTAGAATCCTATTTCTAGAGCTGACGGGAAATGGAAGCTTTCTAATTCCACCCCCTCATTTTATAGATGAACAAACAGAGACCTGGAGAGAGGAAGTGTCTTGCTCAAGGTCACACAGGGCTTAAGGAGCAGTGCCAGGATTGGAACCCAGGTTCTCTGCCTCTGGCACCCAGCGTTCTTTCCATTACATCGGGATGTTTTTTCTTAATTACCATCACCACTGCAGACATTGTCTCAGTAAAACTGATGGGCTTCAAAATGTCATTAAGGTAGAAAACTTTGCAAAAGTGATGATTAGAGCCCCCTTCTGACCAACCACGGTCAAGAGCAGCAGCTGCAAGAAAAGGCTTCCCAGGAATGCCCAGCACCCTTGGCCTCCCCGCTCACCCAGGGACACGTTGGCTCATCCTCTCTGAACTCTGTCTGGTGCCGACGGCAGTCCCCACATCTTCCTAACCATGTGATGCAATCTGTGCATTTCTGTCCCAAACAAACTCTTTGTTAGAGGTAGAAACAGAAAGCTATTTAGCAAGGAGATGTGAAGGGATGGTACCACTAAATTTCTGTCCTGTCTCAGTAGTTTTAACTCTGGGGCCAGGAAATCAATTCCCTTTGGAGTCCAGAGCCAGTCGTCAGGAGACCCAGCTGATGCGTTCTCTGCATGAAGCCCAGCGCCCAGTCACGAGGAAGATGCCGGCTGGAGGTTTTCTCCAGGGTAATGTGGTGCCTGACAACTTCCCAGGAAAGAGGACCATTCAACTCTGAGGGGCTTGCTGCGTGCTCCTTAGTCTGATTGGCTTGTTTGTTTGCTTTTCTTCTGGGGGAGGAGGAGGCCTGTTGGGGTTCTCATAGCTGTAGGAAGACTTTGACATTGAAACCTCTTTGAAAATCTGGGGCCACCTAGAAATCTTTCATCTAGTGTAATCAGCTTTGGAAAGGCTCTTTCACGTCCCTGGGCCTCAGTTTCCTCATCTCTCAAACCAGAGGATCAGCCCAGATGGCCCCTGAGGTCCTTCCTTTCTCTAGTTCTAGGACCCAGTGCTCATCAAAGCTCTTTCTAAGGGCTGACAAATCACCTTCGTCCCAAGAGTCCTCTGAGGTAAAGCAGGCACTTTACAGATAAGGAAACTGAGGCACAGAGTAGAGTGACCAGCCCTAGATCTCACCCAAATGCCATCCTGCCAACTCAGTATGAAAGAGAAATGATTTTTATTGCACTTAATGCCTGAATCTCATTAAGTCTTAATACACAAACCATGGTCTTAAAGCACAGGTTTTATCTCCCCCTTCATCTGCAGAAGAAACTCCAGGGGCTCCCTGTTGTCCTTAGGATAAAATACAATGTTCTGTTCAGCATTCAAGGCCCCTCACAATCTAACTCTATCGTACTCTCCCAGACTTCTTTTACATTTTGTGTTTCAGACAAACTAGTTCACTTGACATTTTCCATGAGATGTTTTCCATCTCCTACCTCTGGATCTTTGCACAGGTTGTGCCCCAAGCCTAAAATGTGTTCCCTCTGCTCCTCTGCCTCTTGGAACCCCTAGGTTCCTTTAAGACTCAGTCCAGCCTTTCATGATCCCCCAAATCTTGGTGCCCAAAACACAGTGTATTTACTCTGTATACAGTTATTCCTTCCATATCACAGAGGTTAGGGGTGCAGTACCCCTACAATCTGGAAAATCCATGTAAATTTTTTGTCCCTCCCTTCATACCAGAGAAGAAGTCTGACTTCTTTCTTTTTCTTTTATCAGGTGTTTACGGTACCTTACTGTAAAATTTGGGTTAATATTACACAATACTATACATATATATTAATACATTTTATAAACTTTCTGGGTTTCTAAACGTTTTCTGTGCCATCTGTTGACCTTTGTGTGTCACCTGCAACTTCTGAAAAACTCCCCAAGGATTCCTGTTTAATTTCTTACGCCGACCCATGATGTGCTGAAACTGCAATGGGGAAAGTTGTGGAAGGGATGGCTGGATACTTATTCTTTACTTATCTTCTTACTCTTTGTATTCTCCTAGTAGAATGTAAGCTCTGTGAGGTCGGGGCTGCTGCTTCATTTTTGGTCTTTGTATCCCTGATGTCTACTACCCTTGCTGGTATACAGAAAGCACTACATAAATGATTATTGATGCACACTGAATTGAGAAGCAATGTGGTGCAGTGGTTAGAGTTGGACTGGGATTCAGGAAGGTTTGGGTACAAGTTTCACCCCTCATGCTTAGTAGCTGAGGGACCACAAACAGGTCATTAACCTCTCTGAGCCTCAGTTTCCTTACGTGTAAAATGAGGAAGTTAGACCAGATGACTATGAAAGTTCTTTCTGACTTTCAAGCTATGATCCTATGAATTGAACTTGACTTATTTTTCCCATTTCAGTCCTGATAGCAAAGTGAGACATCTAACAAAAATGGGCATCAGAGATGGGCAAAGTGTAACGGCACACATGGGGGACCTCTGCACATATCTGACTGGACTCCTCCCTAGTCGGGGAACTTTGCCGGTCGAAGCCTCCTTTTGATGATATGGAATAAGCTCGTCCACTAGAGGAGAACAGGATCATTTCTCTGTTCCACAGGACCTTATCCTGAGCCCCAGTTCTCCTTATCTATTAGACTAGTAAGGTTGGCACTTGCAGGGGTGACTGGAGAGGAGATAATAGCTAATCCATATTTGGAAAGATCACTGCCATTATTTTGATGGGGTGTCTAGCGTCCCCAGGGAGTAGCCAGCGCCTCAGACTGCCTAACTTACCAACAGCAGGTGACTCAGGGCCCCCTAGCTCACCCGT